TGGTGGATATACCTGACATCGCGTTCGGCGTAAACAATGACATGAAATATTTTTTGGAGTAAAAGATTATACTGTATGTAGGAGTAGGACTAGATTCACAAAAAGTCGACTGATTGGTGAATTATAACAGAGTGCACGCGTGGCAGTTAATCAGGCAATCCTTTGTCCCCTTTTTTTTTGAGCGCGTGACCCCGTGTCGCATGTGCGAAATCGGATGGGGAACTGTATGTTCTTTTAATACTCTTTCTTAATACTACCTCCCCTCAAATTATAATAATAGCTAATTAACTAATTTAAAAAGATTAAAAAATAAGTTAAGTTAGTTATTTATAATGAATAGGTGTTATCTTTTCTAAAATATCCTTAATAATCAAATGTATTGTTAGAACTATTATTATTAGAAGAGCTTTTTGAGAAAAATACATAAATATGAGAGACAAAGTGACTTGAAATCTTATATTTAAGACCAAAATAAAAGTCAAATAAAGTCTTATATTAAGAATCGAAGGTAGTATAAGACTTACTAGTATTTAACTAATTTGATTAGATTAAAAAATTTAGATAAGTTTGTTAATTATAAGAGTTATAACATGTTTTCCTAAAATATCATGAGTATCTCTTTTAATATCCTCCATCAATGTCCCACTTGATTATGGTTGAAGAAGTATCAATAGGGATAATTTAGAAAAAATTAATAAATATGATAAATTGATCTTATATTTAAGATTAAGATCATCTCAACGATTAGTTCCTATATTAAGAAGCAGAGGAATATTTTATATTTTATTTGTATGATAATAACTATTAGTCTGGCACAAAAACAAAAAATACTTAGTATTGAATTTTTTAAAAAAATTTGTAATGATTTTTACAATAATTTTCATAAGTCAAAATTTGTGAAACTCACCCGTTTATCGGTATTTTTTTGTTATTTGCTGAAAAAATAATAAATAATAGTAGATTAAATCACTTTTTATGTTGGCAAAAAAAAAATTAAATCAGATTCTATACAAGGTTTTAATTTGTGTCTTCTTTTGCTATAACTCACCCCGCCATCATACATTTGATGGTGAATATGAATTCACAAGTTTACCCTAAAAATCTAAATAAAACATTTCATGTCATTGGATTACAACAACTTACAGACTCTTAGGAGTATTTGGATAGAGACTAAACCATGGTTTCAGAAGTGTTTTTACGGTTTACGAAGTAAACATGTAGAGGAATTTGTCTCGTTTTGTGAAAAAGTACTTCTGAAACTATAGTTTAGAGAGTTGTCAAACACCCTCTTAATAAAAAAAAATATTGACAACATATGAACAATCCAACGGCTAATGTGTAAACAAAATAGATATGAAAAAAAATGAAATGACATATCGACCAAATATGATATAAAATATACATAAAAAAATAATTACTTAGATCTATGGTTTTAACTTGATTGCAACATAATTCTTAAAACTTAACTTATTAACTTGATTTTTTTAAAGTCGTTGATAGACTTTCAAAACTTCCTCAAACCATCTTAAAAACTATTACCCATTGTATAGTTGAATTGAAAAGCGACGTCAATTCATTAAGGAATGGAACACAAATTCATCTCTGAAAAAGTGTAATTGTCATGGGCCATCATACATTTGATGGTGAATATGAATTCACAAGTTTACCCTAAAAAATCTAAATAAACATTTCATGTCATTAGATTACAAACTTACAGACTCTTAGGGGTGTTTGGATAGAGACCAAACCATGGTTTCAAAAGTGTTTTTTAAATCGGTTTAACGAAGTAAACAAAAATGTGGAGGAATTTGCCTCGTTTTGTGAAAAAGTACTTTTAAAAACTATGGTTTGGAGATTGTCAAACACCCTCTTAAAATAAAAAAAATTATTGACAAACATATAACAAATCCAACAATCGGCTAATGTGTAAACAAAATAGATATGAAAAAAATGAAATGACATATCGACCAATATGATATAAAATATACATAAAAAATAATTACTTAGATCTACGGTTTTAACTTGATTGCAACATAATTCTTAAAACTTAACTTATTAACTTTTGATTTTTTTTAAAGTCGTTGATAACTTTCAAAACTTCCTCAAGCCATCTTAAAAAACTATTACCCATTGTATAGTTGAATTGAAAGAAAAGCGACGTCAATTCATTAAAGAATGGAACACAAATTCAACCTTCAACTGAAAAAGTGTAATTGTTGTGGGGTTTTAACCCTAAACACTTGTACCTAACAAGAATTCTTTCAAATCCAAATAATTTGGAGATTGTTGGGTTTAAAAAAAAGATTAAGATGTATTTAAGCATTCTGAAATTTTTTTTTCAAGTACATCCAGTATTTTAAGGTATTTTGTGGTGTATCCAATGCCTGAAATATTTTTTAAGTGCGTCCAGTATCTAAAATATTTTTTTGATGCATCCAGCAGCTTAAAATATTTTTTTAGGTACATCCATAACCTAAAAATATTTTTTACTGCATCCAGTACCAAGACAAAAAAAATACTTTAAGGTGCTGGATGTACTTAAAAAATATTTTAGGGTGTGGATATACCACAAATGCTTCAGAAATACTGGATACACCCGAAAAAATATCTAACATACTAGATACACCTTAACCTTGGAAAAAATCCACTTGAGCTTATCAAAAAAGTTTCAAATGATACAAGTGATTGAGACAAACTTTTAAACAAAGCCAGCAACTATAAACTTCATATATGCACTAACTACAATTATTTCATCAATCCTTTGCACTTCACATATACACTAGCTATAATTATCTCATCAATCCTTTGCAAGGGCGTTGAAGCTTAAGCTTCTTTTTGAGAGAATTATCATGAGGTATGTGGAAAGAATTAAATACGAAAAGAATCCTATAACAAGTGAGTAGTATAAATCATTTGTTATTTTTTATTATAAACTTGTCATTGTTTCTTAGTTGTTTAACAAATTTTAGGATATTTAAATCTCTTTTTTGGACCTTTTCTTTTTGGAAAAATCCCAATTAAATCCATCTGAAATAATGAAATTCGAATTAAGGCTTATACTTTTAACGAATTCCTAATTAGGCTAAGAGGCCTAATTAGAGATTTTCAAATGTTGCTGAAAGACCGGAATGCCTCTTTGTAATAAAAAAGGAAAATTGAAAGTAGGTGTAAATCTGATTTTAGTTTTAATTATTCTAGTAGATTTACTAATGAGGACGTGATCTTTTTTAGATTTTATGTCAAATGTGTGTTTTGTAATTGTGAACGTTATGTCAACTCTAGAATTTATGGCCTTTTAGTTTTTTTTATATAATAAAAATTTGATATTGAATAAATTTGGAGACCGAAAAATTGAAGATGAATTGATGAGTCTCAATGTAAGTTGTGAAATAGTAAAATTAATTTTGATAGATATTCAACAATTCCATGAATCTTTGATTTGATTTTTTCTTGCACAAAAAAAAAATTGATCCTGTTAATCTTTTACATTTGAAATCGTAAAATTTTTATTAGTTCTCATATTTTTGCAATTCTATAGATATCTAGAAATTATGTATTTTGTTTATCTTGAATTTTCAATTACTTTTTATTGGTCATAATTGTGATTTTTCTTTTTTTGTTTTTTATATGATAATATTTTTGGCCAAATTTTCATGTGATAATGTTTAAAGAAAAAACATGTTAGTTAAATTCAATTAAAAGAATTAAAACTAACATTAGGCTTTTTAATTATGAAGGGTATTTTGGTCTTTTAGAAATATTTAAAAATTCCCAATTAGGCCTCTTGGACTAATTAAGAATTTGTTAAAAGTGTAAGCTTAAATTAGAATTTTGCTATTTCAAATAGATTTAATTAGAATTTTCCCTTTTTTTTTCCTCCTTTTAATTAAAGGGAAAGCACTAATGCATGAAACAAACAATCTTAAATTCGTGACCTCTTTATATTTACAACTATTTTTGCCTCAACTGCCTTTCGCTCTTTTGAAACAACGACGAATGAATGATCAGTTGGCTCACCTACCAGACAATTGCTTATCATTGCAAGATTTACCACTACTGTACAAATACTATAACGAGAAATTACCACAAAGGTTTAGCTCAACATAATTGCAATTTTATCAATTCGTTTCTTTTTTATGTTAGCATGTAATTATTTGGTCAAAAGAAACAAAAAAAAAAAAGAGAATTGGTATGCAATTGTTGTGAAGGTTTATTTTGAAGTTCTACAGTTGAACGCAACATTAAACAGCATTTACATGGGCGGCCACCAACCCCCCCTCTCTCTCTCACTCTCTGTATCTGCTGCTGTTACTGCTTCGGTTAGTCGGTATGCTAACTAAGGTGAGTAAAATAATACAACTATTATAAATATCTTAAATATCAACGATAATAAAATGGAGTAATACTTATAAATGACACTTTATTAAAATTTGAATGAAAATATAATATATGACTAATCTGTATACAGTTAGTTTTTCTTGAAAGATCTTTATATAAAATAAATTTTATTGAAATTTTTAACACTGATTAAATCGTGGGCCTTTTTTGTGTGGCAATATTCAACTATGTGAGATGAATTACAATATTCCTGACTTATGTATAATAAAGGTACTAATTATTATTATTTTCTTCTGTCATAAATTTGTAAGAGATTACACTGCCGTTCGGTCATCATACCTAAAAAAAAATCATAAAGAAAGACTTTAGAAATAGAAAAATTGCAAATAGAAACCAATTATAATATTAGTATAGGTTTTAATAAAAATTGATAAGCCAATAACAATAATTTTGGGTGAATGAATCTTTCTATGTAATTTTGTAATTTTTAAGGTTTTTCTTTTACAGTTTTTCAAAAATAAAAAAAAAAGCAAAAAAAAAAAAATTACCGATCACCTAACAAAAAAATTAAAAAAACGGAAGAGCAAGCTCATGGTAATTAATGAACCCGGCCGCCCCGAATCATTCCCTTTGATCATTTCGGGGGGGTGTTTCTGCTTCATAGCGCTCGCGCACGTTGGTTCGCTGCCCCTTCGAAATTTCAAGAAAAAAATCACTCCTTTTAGCTTTCTGAATCTCGATCACACCTAGAGGACGAAACTACTTACCCCTATTCCCCCTCCGTTCTCCTTCGCTGTGTGATTCGTGCTTTCTTCGTCTTCTTCAGTCACCTTCATTTCAGAGCAGGCCTTCCCTTGCATCATTCCAATCCCTAGCCGCCAGTGTTCTATCCCCGCTTCGCCGTGCAGCTTGTACTGGCGTCAAGAATTCGGGTATTGATCAGTCTTCTACAGCTACGCAATTGGTTTCCAATTTGTTTATACACGGGTTTGTTCTCTTGATTTTTTTGTTAGGCATCTGTAATTGGGCTATCCTATTTGGTTTTTGAGTGGACGGGGGAACTAAGGGGCTTCAAAGCGAGGAAAAAAGCGTTCTCTGATTTTGAATCTTGGATTAAGCATTTGTAGGTTCTATAGTTCTGATTGATAAAGGCCTAGTGAAATGAAGGTTTAAGATAGAAAATTGTTTATTTTTCGTTTTTAGTCCTTATAAGTTGATCCTCAACGACTAATTGGTTTCAGTGGTATGTCTTCCTGGGTCCGCGGGCATGCGTCGCTGACAATATGATGATGTCTGGATAGGTGATCAAATTTGATTAGTATTGAGGGAAAGAATATAACAAGGAAGAGAAAACAAAACTAAGATGACAGTAATTGAGAAATCGGCATTACCTGATCAGAACTCTCCAATCCCGCTCTATATCAGAAAGGGACGCCCTTAAGAAAGACTTTTAGCTGAACACGTCAGATGTTGGGAACATTACTTTGTCCGAAAGGAGTGGTGGCTACATAAATTTATCCTCAAAGTTGTTAGCTTTATTCTCCAACTATAAATGACAAAATAAATGCAAGGAGTACCTTAGAACCTTGCCTTACTGTTATAACCCCAGTGATCAGTCGGCCAAAAAATTCCAGAGTAGTAGGATAAAACAAACTTTTACAAGAAACACCAAAAAATGTTCTCCAAACATATCTTAGCCGTGTTGAAATGAAAAAATGAGTAGCTAGTGATCTTAGAGTTTGAAAAGTGTAGGATGCAGACATCAGGGAGAGTGCTGTGCGAAGTTTGTAAATTTGCAACTTTGTGGAGGTATTGATTCTACTAAACACTCTACCTCAGAAAAATCCTGGTCTTGCTAAATCGACCTGCTAGAAAATCTAGTTTAGCAACTGGGAATAACATTTGGGGGAGTAAACACTAGCAGAATCTTAAGCACAATGTCTTCCGTCCTTTAAAAGTGAGGTCTGCATAAAATCAATAGCACTAAGAATGGACTCCAAATCTAAACTTTCTCTAGCATTAAGATATTGATCGCTGTGAAAATTTTAAGCTTGGTTTTAATACTGCAAGATCAAATCTAGAAATAAGATGTGATGTTCAAATGATATTAAAATGCAAAAGCAAAAAAAAAAAAAAGAAAGAAAAAGAAAAAAGTAACTTGCTGGTCCTCCCATCCTTTGAAATGAGTGCCATGAAGCAGAATCCGTTGCATCAAACACAACCCTGAAATTTGCGAACTAAAATTTATGCAAGGCTGGTCACAGCCTTTCACCTTCCTTTGTTCATGAAAGTCTACAGATATCTTGTATTTTAAATAGTTCTGTTTGAAAATTGAAACTTGCTAACTAAAAATTGCAACTTACTGGTCCTTCATCTTCTTCTTCTTCTTCTTCTTCTTCTTCTTGTTTTTCCCTTTTTAATTAAAACCTTCTGCTAATTTTATATGCATGAATAAGTTGTTTTCGAACTTGATTATGTTAATATATTTTTAAGCTGGCATGCTTTTTTGGCCTTACAAATATATTGTCTAACATCCATTTTATGGTTGGGGGTTTTGGAATTGTAGGCTTATTGAGCGGATCTGATCATAGAGGTATCATCTTATTTTATTGAATATTTCATGTGTTTGCGCTATCAATGCCTTGCTGCTTCATTTTGAAGTCTAGCAATCCTTTTTATTAATAACGAATCTAGCAATCTTTTTTTTTACCTGTTGCAAAGATTCTGAATTGAATTTTTTAGTTTTCTAGGTCAGAGGGCCTGCTAGTTGAGGATGAATATGCAACAAGTTGGGCAGTCTAGATCCTGTAATGGATATGGCCGTAGAAAATCTGAAAGAGAAGGGGCAGCCAAGTCAGAGAATAAGATCTCATCTGGGAAGTCAAATGCCAACAGACTGGCAAGTACAGGTGAACCTCTGACCTTGATTACTTTCTATTTCCGTTTAGTTAACTTTGCTAATATTTCTTCTTATAGGTTTAGTGACCGGCAATATAGGAGATGGTCCTTCACATGACCGAGTAGTATATGTTACAACATGTCTTATTGGGCAGCAGGTGGAAGTGCATGTGAAAAATGGATCTATATACTCTGGAATATTTCATGCAACAAATGCTGAGAAAGATTTTGGTATGTTCGGTTAATTTTCCTTTTACATTTATTTTGTGCTAATCAAGAAATTTTTCTGGGTTTGTATAGATTTTGGCTTCCCTTGTTTCATTTTATTTTGTAACTGATAAACATTATGTATTGTTTAAATTATCGTGACTTTTCTTTAGGAATCATTTTAAAGATGGCTCGCATGACAAAGGATGGTTCATTGCGAGGACAGAAATCTGGCATAGAATCAGTATGCAAGGCTCCTTCGAAGACTTTAATTATACCTGGCAAAGAATTTGTACAAGTCATAGCTAAGGTTTGCCGCTTTTCATATTTGGAGCTATATCATTTCAGTTAAATGTCTTTGCCCCTGTGCATTTTTATTTCAATCCTGTCTAATTTATAGTCATTTAATTTAGTGGTGGAATATTTGTTGTTTAGAATCAGGTGACAACATTGTCAACTTGTTTATTGATCATATGTATATCAATCATGGCAGGGCGTTGCTGTTACTAGGGATGGCCTACTTAGTGAAGCTCACCATGAAATGTATCAGGACATCACTGTTGATTCAGTAATATCACAATCACGTCATGTTGACTTAGAGAGAGAACTACAACCATGGGTGCCTGATGAAGACGATCCACAATGCCCCGAACTAGAAAACATCTTTGATGAAACTTGGAAGAGGTGTTTATTATTTTCAGTTTTATCCTTAAACAAGACAAATTTCTTTTACCAAGGAATTATTATTGCTTTTATTGAAACTGGGATCTTGACTCGCCACCCACTATGCATTTGAGTTCCTTTTCTTTTTCGTAGACCATAAAGTTATATGATAAATGACAATGGGTCCTTTCAATTTCTTCTCCAACAATGACACTTAATTTTGTAAAGAGATAAATACCCATTATGGGAAGCTCATTACTCAACTGGGTCCTGCCATTTAAGTTGGCTGAGCACAGTTTGTATCCTTCTCTCTGAAATTGTCCCTATCAATTTTAAAGAGAACTTGAGAGGATCCAAATTACCTATAAACTACAGTGTGTAACTTTTCAAGTGTGGAGGAAATAGTTACTTCAAATGAAGCCTTGGTTTTGGTGCTATGTGTTCTAATTTTATGTCAGTAGAGGAAAAAGCTCAGTTGTATCCACATGGTGTCTCATGTTATTGTCAGAGGTCCAGATGTTTGTCGATTCCAAGAAATTCTGCCTGAGGAATTGTTAAAAGGTCAATGATATATGTACTATTTGGTTGTAGGTATATTCTTGAAATGGCAAACAGGGGAATTATGAAATAGGGGGGTTTTTATGTGTGTTCTTTAAATTGTAACATGAATCTAAATTAAGCTTACCACATTGGGACTATCTCTATCCGTATCAAGGTTCTCCTCAAATTTTTCTCTTTCTATTTGTGATTTATTTAAAGATTCTTCATTTTGTTTTACATGACAATTATTATCCTTATTTCTAAAAGGGGCTGGGATCAGTTTGAAACAAACAAAACGTTGTTTGGTGTAAAAAGCACGTTCAATGAAGAACTTTATACCACAAAGCTTGAGAAAGGTCCTCAGACAAGAGAGTTGGAAAAGCAAGCTTTAAGAATTGCAAGAGAAATTGAGGGTGAGGATACCCAAGATCTTCATCTGGCAGAGGTTAGTGTTGTTTTAGTGCTTTTCTTGTTTTCATTTCCTTTTCTTTCACTATTGTGACTTTCTGTCCTCTTTGTTCTTGTCTGCTGAATTCCTCAAATAATGTTCATGATTTTTTTCCCGACAGGAAAGAGGCCTTTATCTACATAAGAATTTTGATATTGATGAAGAGACTAGATTCTCTTCAGTCTATAGGGATAAAGGGGTTTATGACAGTGGCTATGATGAGAATGAGGATATTCTGTCAGATTCACGCAATTCTGAAACCTTTGGAGATACAGTTGCTTCAGTTGTTATGAGATCTAGTGAATCAAGTGATGGGAAAGATGATGATGGAGTTAGAACACCATCGAATTCATCCTCCAAGGTATCTTCGTAATAATTTATTTTATTGTTAAACCCTAATACAACAACAATAACAACAACAAGAAGCTTTATCGCATTAGGCGAGGTTGGCCACATGGATCATATGGTGCCATTGTGTTTTATTAACAACCAAATCTTTGAATCTGTTGTTAGCCAAAAGGTCTCATTTAGTAACTTCAATGAGTGTTTTCTTCAGTTTTCCTCTAACCTTTTTTGAAAGTCTATACTATCTAATCTACCCTCCCAAATAGTTTAACTCTGGATTGTCCTTGTGGGTATATCAACTCAGGGATTTTAAATTTGGACACATCCAATGATAAGTGGGTCCTTTTGTCGTAAGTTCTTGGGTGCTCAAATCATGCCCTTTTGTTGACTCGATTGAGCATTGTGATATATTCATCTCTTATAGTGAGAGAGAATTTATGTAGGAGGTTATCATTAATTGCCTTGAATTTAAGTTACTGGACTTGTAACTGTCATAATCTTTTTACTTAATCTTGCTTCGAAACTCTTTAAAGAGAAATAGTGAAACACAATACAATGCTGGGAATTTAGGCATAAGCGTTGATGCCTTATTTATTTCTTTATGGATTGTTGATAGTTTTGTTGAAGCTGAAGTTAAAGTGTCCTTTTGTTTTTGGGGAATTGATGAAGTGTACGGTCTCTGCTGTGGCTAGAACTATTTGCAGTCACAGTTTTATTGTAAAAAGCACCTTGGAAAGTATTGACAAAAAAGGCAGCATATTGCTGGCTATCTTTTTGTGAGTTTATTTGTGATATCTGAATGAAGTAGCTCTGCTTGCAAGGTGTGCTAAAAGTTCCAAGTCCTTGTACGCTTATGAAATTAGTATAGCTTTAGAAGATAATTGCATTACTAAGAGGCATAAATTAGTTGTGTCTAACAGCTTTCACTGTTGAATATTCCTCTTCTGAATTTTTGCTTCCGCCTTCTCCCTCTCTTTCACTTAGTAACTTCCCTGTTTTCTTGTTTCATCTTATTATACTATGTTTTGTGGGTCTGCAGGATTTACCACAATCATCTCAGTCAAGTAATGGTGTGGATTTAGGCCGTGCTGGTTCTCACAATCTTGCTAATCATTTAGCATCTGAACTCCCTGCAAAAAGTGACCCTACTTCAGATGCTGAATGCAGGTTTCTGTTAAGTTCTTTCTTGTTACTCGTTTCCACTGTAAAAATTGTTTTACTCAAGCATGGCTTTCTAGAAAATAAAATCTTCTATTTCTTTGGTAACAAATTATCTAGCACTCGATGCTACCAACTAATTCAAAGTCGAACAGAATTAGGCCCCAATTGGGAGGTAACTCTCCTAATGTGGGGCCTTTTTTTTTTTTTAATTCACAAAATTCAAATCTGAGACCTTGCTTAAGTGGCGCGTAGTCATTTACCACTCAGCCCAACTGGAGTTGATTCAAAAAATAAAAATTTTCATGACAACTGTGTGATGAATTCATATTCAACAAACTTTCAGGGTTCAGGGGAACTCGCATAATGATCTGCATGGAGCCATTGACAGTAGCAAGGGAGAAAATCAGATAGTGAGTTGAAGTTACTTGTAAATACCTCATACAAGAGAATTAGTTCAGAGGCTCTAAATTGAGATACTCTCTTCTTTTGTGTAATTGATGCAGGAACCTGGGGATGTTGAACCGTCAAAATCCAAGGGTTTGTGAACTTTCCATCTGAGCTCTCTGCGGTTTAAGTAATTTAAAAAGCATTGTGCCTTTAATAACATGGAAAAAATTAAAATTACTCCTCACTTTTTTTGGGGGTTATGTTAATTGTCTCTTCCCCCTTAAAGGAAGTGTTGAATCTTTCTGTCTGCACTCATTGGTACTCTTGCGTGGCAGAACTCACCTGTACTTGAAATGTATGTTACTCTGACTTGGGTAAAATTTTTTGCAGACTTACAGTCATCACACAACTTGAAGAAAAATGACCCTGATACTGGGGCATTGTCTTCAAATGAGGCCTCTCGTGCCCCTTCGTCTCATATTTCATCAAAGACTTCTGAAAAGACAGGTTTGCCTGGTGATTTGATTGATGGTTCAGCATCTGAGGAAGGTAAAGGGGAAACAAATTCTTTAAAATCGTTTGGAATAACTGCCAGTTCCACATCAACTCGTACAGATTGTGTGAAAGGTGTCGCAGCATCTCCTGGTCCTGGTCTGTCACCAAGTTCTTCAGTAGGTTCATTATCTTCTGAAAAATCAACACTGAATCCCAACGCAAAGGTCTGAAAGTTCAAGATTTGAATTTTTCAAAAGAAAAATCGGAATAACTGATATTGTTATTTTATACTAAAGATACATCACTGAACTGCCCCTTTTTTTTTTTTCCCTCCCCTATATGCTGCTATCAGGAGTTCAAGCTCAATCCAAATGCAAAGAGTTTCGTTCCATCTCCATCACCAGTTAGGTCTCTCTCACAGGTGTCTGATGGCTCCTTCTATTACCCAACTAATGTAACTACTGTACCGCATATGCCTGCCATGCCCATGGAACTTGGAGTAAGTATTCCATGGTGAGGTATCATGTCAAGTTTATAATGGGCTTCCACCTGATAGGGTCTTGGCCTTTTCAGACATCCGTCCAAAAGAGACTGCTATAGGTTTTATTGTTGTGCTAGAATATTTTATTAATTCTAAGATCTATTGTAGTTCATTGACCAAAGTTCCAAGACCCCCCCCCCGGTTTTTTTTTTTGTTAATAATGAAAGGCTATGAAAAAGCCATAACAAGAGATAAAAAGACAAAATAGAATAAGTACTTTGTTCATGTAACTCAAGCAATCCTCTTCAACTTAAGGACCTGTTTGGTTCCATTCTGGATTGCCATGGGAATGGTAATCTTGATTGCATTACCTTGGTAAGTGTGTTTGGTTGCCTTTTATGCTGGTAATGGTAATCATGATACCAAAACTTTGGTAATCCCCATTCGTAGCCCCCACCATATGAATCCCCATTACCATCCTCTACCATGTTCTGAAAATCAGACTTGCCCCCAATATTACTTCATACACACTCACAGCATATTCTTTGATGCCCTGCCTCCGCCTCCACGTCCTCTGCTCTGACCACAGTAGAGCCTCCTTCCCCAACTCTGATGCCAATGCTGACAAAGCCCAACCAAGTTCGTCATTAGCAGCCCCTCCTCCATTGTGACCCCACTTTTATCCCTCATCAACTTCCATCCTCATTCTCCTTTCTCCATTCTCATTATCACACTGTCCTTCCTCTCAGTATCACACACTTCCTCATCGCAGGTCCATCTTCATGTTCGCCAATTACCATATTCAAGTGCACACCAGACTTAAAACCTTCACCTCCGGTGGAGGAATCTTCTTTGATACCGTTAGCTCCAATTGCAGCTTTCCCTATGCCAGTGGAGCATAAGCTTTTTCATCCTCAACGGCCCCTTCCACCATCGCTATCCTACCTCTGTCCCCTGTGTACTTCCACCAGCATTTGCACTCGCCATTGTCCATCTTTGCACCACTGTATTTGTGTTCCAGATCTGAGTTTCAGGTCGTTTGGCAAAAGAAAAAAAATTGTGCGCTTGAGAGTTGAGATTCAATTTTAATGTTGTGTCAGTTGGTTGTTAGAGAAAGAAATATGATGATTTGTGTAGCACAACCTATGTCTGCCGGGGGTGAAGAATGAAGGAGGAGGAAGGGAGAAATTGTGTGGAGGCATGGTGGTCTTTTCATTCTTTTTTAATATAATTAAATTGAAAATTAATTTTATCACAACATTCTTTGATGTCATACCAAACAAAGCTATGGTAATTAATATTGTATTGCACTGCATTATCAAAAGGGTATGCAATTGAACCAAATAAGCCTTAAGGGACTAGGGACTGCTGGTTGGTTTTTCAGGACTAAGACCTAGGAGTTATTAAAGGATTGATGAATCTCTTTTCTGCTTTGATGCATCTCACAGCCATGACCAAGTTGCATGTTTCTTGCAGATGGGACATGCATTTGCTGGGCCGCAACCTGTCGTGTATAATCCACAAGTAGCACAAATGTCGTCACAAGCATATTTCCATCCAAATGGATCACAGGTAGGATATTGCTTGCAGTTTTTTACTGGTATCCATGTTAAACGAACAATGCTGCTTCCGAGTAGATGCTTACTATTTGTTGATTCGCAGTATGGACAGCTTCTTGGCCATCCTAGGCAAGTTTTGTACATGCCAGGTTATTTACCTGTAAGCACTTGACACTTTCTCCACCATTTTTAACTTTTATGTTTCCAACAATTAAAAGACATCCGCATCATGCTTTTGAAGATGTCTGTCAGCGTTTGAAGATGAACTGTTGAGATCACCCATCTTAATAATCTACTTGTCTTTAATGTAAGGGTTAGTTGAGGGTTGGATTTAGTTTTAAATATAAGATTTTAATCCATTTTGTCTTTTAAATTTATATCTATTGATCGTCAAGGGCTTCCACTAAAGAATAATTTTCAATGCACAGGATTAAAAAGTAGTTTAGAAAATCAACACATGTTTGTTACAAATAATTAACTTAGCTAATTTTCTTAATATCTCTAAATTAATTATTTAACTTTTATATCAAGGACCAGAGTTAATACTGTATATAGGGGGAGATGAAATTTCAATGGCTTAATAAAAGATCGTGGGATGTAAATTTGAACCATACATACAATCCATTATTATCTACCTTGACTAATCGGATGTCTGATGTCAGGTGTGGAAATTTATCCTCTCTGTTACAATATTTATTATCTGTTTATGATCGTTACTTATGTGATTTTCCTGATTGATTATGATACAGGAAACGCCTTATAAGGGGCGGGATTACTAACAGTCTTGGCTGACAGCATTCTTGGCAAATTTGTTCCTTGCCTGAAATCAATAAACTCATAGTGGATGGGCTGAAGGATGGGGGACTCTTCAGCTTATAGGGAGATATTTTCATTAATATGTCTTTGTGTTTACTGGCAAACTGACTCATCCTGGAATATAATTTTATGGCATCTGTATTAACCCTCCCCCACATCTGGGGTTTCTTAGATTTCGGTCATTTAACGTCCTAACTCATATTGACCCCCTTTTTCTTAATTTTGTGCTGACATTTTATTTCAGTTTTCACAATTTTGCCATGAGTTATGTTTCATCTTCATATGATGACAATCGTTTTGCTCTGCCGTTCAGTCTGCTGATAGCAAGCATCCCATGAGATTCTGTTGTATTAAATTGTTAAAATTTTTGACAAATTGTATGTGAGGATAAGATATCAGCTAATTATTATTATAACGAGTTCAAGTTTTGTAATTATTGAGGTGAGTTCTTTGCAAGCGGGTGTGGTTTTTTGTCTGTATCTCGTGTATCAGCGTGCTTCAGTCCTTTCTTCGTGCATGTGCTCTCTGTACTCTCTTTTTGTATTTTCGTAATATATAATTATCCTTTTATTTAAAAAAAGTTTTTGTAACTATTGAGTTCATTTATGTTAAAGCTAGTCATGCAAAAGCTATTGTTGGGTATTGGTATTATGTTCCCAAAAATTTGAATGTTGGTTTTTATATAAAGCTAATTGCATTATTTTGTATGGTAGTGTTTTTCTAAATAAAATAAATAATAAAAAAGGATAAGATCGTGCCCCAGGTGTATCTACTTTCTAGAATGCTTCTTTATAATATTATTTATTAGATATTATATTATGTGTTAATTAATAAGTAATTCAGTCACTTTCATAGGCAACCTTAAAATAAAAAACAAGAAAGCAATAAGACAAGCAGTATTGTATGGACTTAACGTCAATTTTGTGAGTGAGTGTGACATGGTAGGTATATGATTAAGTGTTTTAAAGTATGAAATGAAAAGGACAACCACATTCCCACATCCAATTAAATATATTTGTCGCAGTTTCTAAAGCAGATTAGATGGCATCCTAATCCTTCATTATTAATAATTAATGGGTTACTTAACCTCACTGATCTGTACTAAGAAAAGCTAAAACTACAGGATGGCGAAACAAAACAAAAAAAAAAATCTAAAACTGCAGACTTCAAAATCGAGATTTTTGCATCAAAATTTTTAAGGTTTAGAATTCTACATAAATCCTGTAAAATTTTAGCAGTAAGTCCCATTAAATTTAATAACGGATTTTTTATTCTTGAAAATAACTATAATTTTAAGATTTTTTTTTACTTGAGTTCGTTAACAATCTCCGTTTTTCATGTCAATTTTTCTTCCATTATTCCGTTGACCTTCATTTAATTGAACCTTTTAGTTTTTAAATGGCCCAAGAACATTTTTTTTTTCAAGTTTACCGATTAAATTATGTTTCATATTCATTTCTTTGACGGTCCAAATGAGCAGAATGATTATGCATGCCATACAATTTATTATGAGCATAAATGAAATTTTATGATGATTGATGAAGGATATCATAATGACCGCATATTTTTCTTCTACAAATTATATACTTGTTGATCATTATATTTTTTATAAATAAAATATTTCAAATAAGCTTATGTGTGTCTGTGGAGGGTTTTGTGTGGCTTTTTGTCGATGTACTGTGGGGCTGAGTGTTGCTGATTTTTTAACTTCATTATAGAATATCTGATGGCCAATCTAAAAGTTATTAAAAACCATAATTCAAATTGAATCTTTTCGTCCTACTTATAAGAGTTAGTTGACTAATTTAAGGAAATTAAAGAAAAAAATTAAGTTAGTTATTTGTAATAAATAGATGTTGTATTTTCTAAAATATCTTTACTAATCAAAGTGTATTAGCTAAAATTATTATTGTTAGAAGGACTATCTTGAAAAAATGTATAAATATAAGAGATGAAGTGTATTAGGATCTTATATTTAAGACTAAAATAAAAATAAAATAATGTCTTATATTAAGAATTGAAGGTAGTATCATTTTGTTTTTGTAAATAAAAAAAATTGGACGACCAATTTCGACTCATCACAAAACGACAACAATAGAGTACGACCAAACTAAAGAATTGAATTTTATATATGTGTGTGTATCCATATATGCTAAAAAGTAAAACTTTTCACTATTAGTAATGATAATGTAATTTAATTATAAAAAATCTCGGTTCTTCGCCCCTTAATGTTTACTCTTTAATAATGAAGAAAAAGAATGGAGATGATAGGAAGATGGAGGTAGGGGTGGGGACGAGTGAAAGGTTGTTCTTTGGGGCGTTGATACTCAGCCTGGTTCAGTCGTTGTAGGAGACGAGGTGCCTTCGATTCTTGTCACTGAAGCCGATACGTTCAATAAACCAAATACAAGAAAAAAAAAAAAGGAATATCTTTACTAGTTTTGGAGGAAGGAGACATGCAAGGTTCTGGATTTCAGCGTAACCCATTTCTTCTTCCGCTTTAATTTACTTCGTTTCCGAGGTATCTAGAACTCTTTTTTGGAGCTTTTTTTAATGTCTTTTCTCCTCTGTTTGTTAAGTTTGTGTTTTTACTTGATATGGTAGTGAATATGCGTTCATGTGGGATTTGGAGCTTTTATTAGATAGTGGGATTTCTTGTTATGGTTCAGTCTCGTGTTTGATGATGGTTGGTGCGTTATTGTTCTTCTGAGGAACAGTTTTTGTTTCTTATTTCATGAATATTCTGGGTATTGCCTATTTGTGAAACGTTTTTCCGATTTTGGCAAGGTGCTTTAAATCAAGGTAAGTCCTTGGAGATGGAATTCCTCTTCATTTAATAACTTCATCCATATTTTCATGTTCCAGGTTTTTGTTCCTTTTTCTTATGTTTTCTTTGTTCCCATGCATTCTGCACTTCGTACTTTGTTCTTGTTCAATTATACTTTTTCTCATTTCGTTTGGTTGCTTTTTCACGGTAGTAGGGTTTCTTAACCAAGAAATTTCTTAACCTCTTAATTCTCAGTATTTTATTTGCTGGCGTACCTTTTTGATTGAATGAAGTACGAGTTCCATGCTTACCAAGTTTTTCAGTAAAGTGGTCAAAGGTAAATTAGGGAAAAAATGGAACTCCTTTAAAGTCCTTAACGAGTCTGTTGATCCGTCTTTGCTTCAACTTGAAAGTTTTGGCTGTTTTGATTAGCGTGGGGGTCACTAGGAATATTAAACAGATATCCTCCTTTGACATACTACCTTGTTCTTCTTCGAGTAGACCTAAGATCAATACTACTTTGCGATCGTTGAAAATGTTGCTTGTGTGTAATTATTGATTTGTTATTTTCTATTCACTATCTCCATGTTCTTATGCCCTAATTTCTTTTTCAGTAATCTTTTCGTGCAGATATCGGTTTCGTTCTCCTACAATCTGTCACTTTGCTTGTGCTCAAGCATTCTTTGCCTGGCCGCAATTACTCTAAATTGCCATTAAACTAGTTGCTGCTTGAAATTGTTTAGCTATTTTTAGGTGCATTTAACTTGACATGTTTTTGGTTTGGTGTGTTTTGATTAGTCAAAATTTCTCCTGCAATTAGGTGATGTTCTGCATCATTTTGGTCGGAATTAATAATTGCAACGACTATCTAGTAGGTATACTACATTGAGTAGTGGTGGCTGATGATTGAAAAAGCAGTAACCAAATCCAGATTTCCACTCATGTTATTTTGAAGCTATTTTAACAGGTAAGGTCCGAACCATAGTGAGAAAGATTATGGTGTATGTTCTGCCCATTCAACATGTCATGTTTTTGGTTGCTCATCATGGAGGAGTCCTTCTGCATTTGATGTCCAGAAATCATCTGCTTCCAAGAGTTTAAGCTTGAAAATGGGAGTTCTGCCACAACAACGTCATAATACAAAGCCATTGAGTTTCCAGTTTCAAGATCAGGATTCATCTTCTACTCAATCAACTGGTCAATCTTATCCAGAAGATGGTTCAGCTCAATCAGGTATTTGCTGTAACTTCTTTATATGTAATTCTGAATTTTGTGCTTTTGAACTGGTTACTGCATTTCTTTTATCTAGTGACAAACATCTGACGGTGAAGTTGCTAGAGTACTTACTACATGTTCTCAAAGGAAATGAAGTAAAGCAAATACATGATCATGATCCTATTGTCTGAATAATATCTCCTTTCTCGGCATAAACAGTCAGATGATTATGATATCCATATGATATTATGCTTTTCTTTAAAGTTTAATTTGGCTTGAGATAACTAGTCAGAAACTCTTCTCAAATACTTTGGCTTGTTACTTTATGGGCGTTTGTTCTGCTTTGGTTGGTAGGTCAAATTTCTATCCGGTGTAGCAGTTCTTCTGCACGCTCAAAATGTGTTGATAGTGGAGGTGGTCTCATCAGGTCATCATTGGGGAGTCAGAGTTTTTGTTTTCCTCCTTTCCAAGTGGATCATAACCAATCAATTGTATGTAGATACATGTATATGTTTTGGTGAGCATGAGAGATAGGTGATACTGATAATTTTTCTTTGGTCATCTGCATTTCAGGCTCATATAGCATTTCGCCATGCTGAACCATACTTTGATGGTGTGCTTGCTGCTTATGGGCCACAGTCTAAGGCAAGATGTTATGATTTATTCTTTTTCTTTTTCACTGTTATTTTTGTCTCCTTCTTTTACAGTATATGGGTATTAGCCATAAAAATAAATCGTAGGATATCATTTTATTCCAGAAATTTGTTGGCATCAGATTGATGGTTTGGTTTTGAAAGTTTTTTCATATTCTGGGGAAAGCCTTTATCCTAGTGTGCTTAGAATGGGTTAGTCCTGGATTCTTACCGTCTTTGGTGTTAGTAGTTAATTTGTCAAATTTGTGGTGCTAGAGATAATTTGCCGGCCTTACAGATTCTTATTTTTAATAAAGTAGGTCAATGAAGTATCTTTCCATTTAATTAAGTTTCTTAAGTTCCCGTTCCTGCATCCCCTTTGTTCTGATTCTTTGTACGCTTTTCTTTGTCATTAACATGATTCTTTATAGTGGGGGAGTTGTTTTACAGTAACTTTTGATATTAAATGATACTATATACGTGTGTGCGTATGTGTGTGTGTGTGAATGGTTATTCCTGTTGACCTTTATCTCAATGACAGAGGAAAGTGGACTATTCACCCACAATAGAGTTGTTTATTCTTGTGTTCGACTCATCGGATTCTTGCATGACGTGTTTGTGCTCTAAATTAATTATTGCTCTAAAAGAACTCTGTTGCCAAATTCTGAAATATATATACTGCAAAAATGTCACCAGATTCATCAGGCCCAACTCATGGGATTAACTTCTGTTCGAGTTCCTCTTCCTTTTGATCTGACAGAAGAACCAATATACGTGAACGCAAAGCAGTACCATGCTATTCTGAGGCGTAGACAGTATCGTGCCAAACTCGAAGCACAGAACAAACTCACCAAAGCTCGGAAAGTAAGTCCAGTTTTCTTTAACTTCCTAAGCATCTCAAAAGCATGGTACTGGATGCTATGATTATATGCTTGGATAAGACAACAGCAGCAATTTATTTGTTTTTCTTTAAAGGATGCTATGATTATATGCTTCTGCAGCCATATCTTCACGAGTCCCGGCATCTGCATGCATTAAGGAGGGCTAGAGGTTCTGGTGGTCGCTTTCTCAACAGCAAACAACTCCAGGAAGCAAGCCTCAAAACAGACAGTCTTGGCCTGAAAGTTTCGGAAGGTACCAGGTTGAACCTAGGTGGAAATATGTCGGAATCCAAAAATCATGCTGATGTAGGAAACTACAGAGATGGGGCATGCCCCACAGGTTCTGATATCACCAGTGCATCCAATAGTGATGGCATGTTCCAGCAACATGAGTCCAGCTTCAGGCTCTCTAGCTACCCTCCTCACATTGGATGGAGCATGCACGGCTACTCAGCTGAACCCGGCGCCCGTGGAAGTGGTGGCGGGAATCAACAGCACGTGTCTGTCCTCATGTGATGACAGACACATGATTCTTCAGATGAGAAGATGAATATGGAAACTGCTTGTTTTCCCAATGGGAAGTCATCCTTGGCTCATTTATATACACACACTACGTATTCCTACACCTCGTGGTGTTCATGTCAGCTATCCCGGAACAATGATATGAACATCTTATTAGATATATTATGTGAAGTTGATTTGGTGTTTCTAAGTGTTTTGGCAAAGTAGAAGAACGTCTGGGGAATTATGCTGATGACTTGTGAAATATCAAATATGTCTTATGTTTGAGGATTGATGATGTATTGATTCTGGCTTGAATGAGACCTTTATTTCCTGGTGCTTCTGTGATATCTCATTTATGTTTTGGCTGAAAAATCGACCGGTGTGTTTTTTCTTTTTCCTTTTCCGCATCAGTCCTAAGCAAGTCTCTATGCAGAAGTTTTTGTGAGGATGGTATTTGATTTATAGTCAGCTTGGTTATCTGTTTGTGTGTGTGTGTGTGTGTGTGTGTGAGGATGGTATTTGATTTACAGTCAGCCTGGTAATCCATTTGTGTGTGTGTGGTGTGTGTGTGAATAGATTTTTGTTGGTTTTTGCGATATAACGTCTCCTTAATGCGTGTGCGTACGTATGTAGGTATGTATGTATTCTTTTTTACGTTTTTTGCGTTTTTTTGTTTTTGTTTTTCTGACTATATAGTGTCTGATCAATAAAATTAGAAATTTTTATTCCAATTTTTAAAAATAATTTTTTATGTCGATTTATTCTGGTTTAAAATTGGTTTAACATTCAACTGAAACCTAATAATTTACCAATTTATATCCTGACGTTGACGTGAGAATTTACCACGTCAGCTAAACATGAGGAATTCAACATCAAGTCAGCTAAAGATAGTCTTGTTAGTAAATTCTAGATAAAATATGATATAAACAAAATTAACGACGAATTATTGTGCAATTTTACATAAATAAATTTATTATTAAAAATTTCCGTAATAAGTTAGTGGCATGTAAAATTTTTTAGCATTTAGATTGTTTATACGGGTCAGCATAATAATTCTTAAAGTGAAAATGTGCTCTGGCAAAAGAAAATAATTTTGTTATGGTGATAATAAATTTTCTTTTTTTGTCGGGAAAAAAATTTCAATTCAACGTATTCCTGACAAACGACTTCGTTTTTCATGCGCATTGGTTTGTGCGGAGACATCCATTGCATTGTCGTCGTCCTTGTAAATTCTAATTTTGCTTCGGGAGTGCACTGTCGGAGATAGGGAGGAGAGTGAGACGGAGAGAGGGAGAAACGAAGCCATGGACGGCGGAGCACAGTACAATCCTCGCACGGTGGAAGAGGTTTTTAGGGATTTCAAGGGAAGAAGAGCTGGACTTATAAAAGCCCTTACCACCGGTGCGTCTTTGTACCGCTTCTCCTCTTTTTTTCCCCTCCACTTATTGATGTCGGTTTAGCGTTTGGTTTCCGGGAATGCGCGTGAAAGGAAATGGGTAGAAAAAGTTTTGAATTCTTTGTTTAATGCTGTCTTTGTTTCAAGTTGTTTCAAGTAATGTGCTTTGGAAACAAAGTTGTTGTTTTGTTCAGTTTTTAAATCGTCTCCAATGATATGTCGGAGCATGGTCCATATTTTTCTCGTGAAAAAATTCGCGTAGATGATTAGCAATCGGTCTCCTGGTTTTTCTGTTCTGTTCTATAATGATGAATGTTGTTCCCATTTTTCTCTGTACTGATTCTGTTCTGGCTGAAAAGATTTTTCCTTTTTATAAGTTGTTTTTAAAAATCATAAGAGGTTATGAAATAAATTATGTTGTGATTTGTTTACTCTTTATGGTCATGCTTCATAATGTTGCAGATGTTGAAGAATTCTACAACCAATGTGATCCTGGTTAGCTACACTCTGACTCTCCTTATCCTTCCATTCTTATATTATTATTTCTGCATTTTTAATGAGTTGCTAATTTTTTGGGCATATCAAGTAAAGCCTTTTGTGTGCGACACCATTTGCATTTTTAAACGATAGGTGGAGGTTTTAGTTTGTTGATGCTGAATGGCTAAATACAGTCTCAGCCTCTCACCAAAACTCTAATACCATTCGATTGATTCTTCATGACTTTTGAAGGTGTTTTGTATTTATTTCTGGTTAAAATTCTGCTTTTATGGTTTTTCACTCAGTAATTTTGTTGCCCTTATGCCTTCATATTAAAATATGAACTAATGCCCTAGTTCTCTGCAAGTTTACGATAAGATATGTGTGCTAGAACTACAATTCTTGAGTGTAAGAAACATATGAGATCTTCTGAAATGGGTATCACAGTTATGCTTTTCATTGATATTTAGACTGGTAATCTTGAATACTCATGCAGCATATTGAGCTGCATTCCACATAATCATCACTCCAACCAGCCTTGACCAGTGTTGTGGTATACTATTTATATTGGAAACTTTGGATATACAATAGACATTCTTGTATCCATGTTAGCCTAGCTCTAGAGCCACTTATTTGTGTCCCTGCCATGTATGTTAGTCATTATTTCTTGACTAAATGGAATGATGATTCTCAAGAACCTTTTCGCAGGAAATGTTATTTGCATTTTTGGAAATAAAGATCTCATGTATCTATGCTGGCTGCTAGGGCAAAATATTGGAAATGGAGGATTTGATGTTTCCGTATCTAGATTTGCTCTTTATATTTGGCTACTTGATTCCTTGTTGTTTTCACCGTGGATATTTAACTTTTTTTCAGAGAAAGAGAATTTGTGCTTGTATGGTTATCCTAGTGAGCAATGGGAAGTAAATTTACCTGCTGAAGAAGTTCCTCCAGAACTTCCAGAGCCTGTGCTGGGCATAAACTTTGCCAGGGATGGCATGCAGGAAAAAGACTGGTTATCTTTAGTTGCTGTCCACAGTGATGCATGGTTACTTGCTATCGCTTTCTATTTTGGAGCCAGATTTGGATTTGATAGAGCTGACAGGTATAGCATGCTTTATGAACACTGTCCTTTTTCTTTTTAACATTTCTTTTTTAGGTTAATTTTTTAAGAAATGAACTGTAGATTCTGTAAGACACAGAGGTGGTATGGGTTCATTCTGCATACTAGTCTCAATTATCACATTTCTTCAGTTGTGGTCATGGAGGGTTCTTCCCCTCCTTTTTGAGGAATTTCTTATTGCTTCTTCATGTAATGGTTAATTGACTGCATTTCAGTTTATCTGAAATGACTTAGATCCCTTTAAACCATTGGTCATTGACGATTCTTCCGCCCCCTCCCTTGCTTGGGCCCCTTTTCTATGTTGAAGCAGTTGCTTGCCTTTGGAAAGAGGCAAAGATGAGCATCGCAATTTAATTAGGATCTTTGCGTTGCAATATCTTGTAATTTTATCCCATGTTTCAAGGGTGAATATTTGTGCTTTTACGTTCGTTATAATGTGCACAGTGGTGTATTCGTTGTCAAGTGAACTTTTAATTCGCCATCTTGGATCTGCTTGTTCAATGAACATATAATCTGCATTTGCTTTGAACCCTTGGGATAGTGGTGGATATGTGTAGGGTTGGATCATCAGAGTATAGTTCTTATTCTTCATGCAAAATACTTCAATAAATGGTTCTGTCATATAATTTTCTTTTCAATCCACCTGAACAAGGTTTGACGTCCTAATGCAGGAAGCGACTTTTCAATATGATTAATGAACTACCAACGGTATTTGAAGTTGTTACGGGCACAGCAAAAAAACAAATTAAGGAGAAGTCTTCAGGTTCAAATCACAGTGGCAGTAAATCAAAGTCCAACTCTAAAGCGGTAAATAATATTTCCTTCTGTTCCCGTTCATGATAAATAAATAAATTTTCATTTTTTCAAGCATACTTCTGTTTTTTTTATTGTTGCAGTGAATAAACTGTGGTTGGTCTTTTGGTTTTAGCCACTTAGAGATGTCAACCAGCTTTACTATAAAATCAAATCATCTTGGCCATGGTGTTACTTTTTTAGCTCAGGGTTTTAAGTATTGAGATGAGAATATTTAGGAAGTCTTCATGAATAATAAAGACTTTGATATTTCACCAAAAGAAAGGAAAGACTCTGATATCTGATCTGATTAGTCATGGGGATTGAGGATCTTACCTATCTCTTAAAGATTTTCAAATTACAAATTGGAACTTGAGGTGGTATGAAGTTCAAAAAACAAGATAAAAAGGTTGTACTGTAGCTACAGTTAGACAATCGCCAAAAACCCCAAGGATCTACACCAAAAGAGTTATGGTATTGAATATGGAAAGAAAATGAAAAGGGTTATATTAAAAGATTGCTATGGGCTGAATGTTGCGAAACAATGTCTTAAGTATGGAACAAAGATGATTCATCCTTGTTGCGAGGCCTGCCATAGATCATGAAAACAAGAGGAGCATAAATACAAGCAGAGGTTAGAACTTAAAATAGATGTTTAGTTGCTGTAATGGGCTGATAATTTTCCTTCTTTAGGCTCGAAACTAATGGGATGTTGCCTTTGTAATGTGCTTATAAGCAAGAACTCAGGTATTGACCATGCTTATTCTTTCAGAAATTAAAAAAAAAAAAAACTATTGAGATGAAATTTGGGTTGCATAACTTGGGTTAGATTATTATGACCAGCTGTTGTCCATGTGAGACACTGAGATAAAATAAGTTCTTAAAATTCATGGCTAGCAAATGAGGAATTCGCTGTAGATGAATTTCCAGACCTCCCAATTTCCTAATGGTTATTCTTAGATCTGCTATAAAGAAAAAATGCCCTGCTCAGACTGTCTAGCCGTCCTCTCCCCTTTAAGGGATGGCAAACTAAGAGAAGCTAGATTCTAGAAGCGGGGTTCGTTATCATATAGCTTTTGTAATAATTATTTTGAATTTGACATCTAGAATTGGAAATCTATTTATGGTTCTGCTAAACCACTGCTGTATATTGATTCACATTTACTGAGGACATGGTTGAAGTTAAGGTGCTTCACTGAGGGATGTTGAATTTACTCAGGGTTCTGTAGGTGTAGGCATATAACAAATTTATTTGGGGTTATATAGGTCCTTCGCTTGAGTAGGTGGTACTATCATATTTGTTCTCTTTTGCTCTTTTGAGCTGGTTTGTCTTATTTAATTATTGAATCATTGAGCAGCGAGGTTCAGAATCTGTGGGAAAGCATTCAAAGGCTATGCAATCAAGAGACGAGGAAGAAGGACTGGATGAAGTAGATGAGGACGAACACGGAGAGACCTTGTGTGGGGCATGTGGTGAGAATTATGGGACTGATGAATTCTGGATTTGTTGTGACATCTGCGAAAAATGGTTTCATGGAAAATGTGTGAAGATCACTCCAGCTAGGGCAGAGCATATCAAACAATACAAATGCCCGTCATGCAGTAACAAGAGAGCTCGTCCCTGACATAAGCAAGGCTCCTTCACTGACTAGCATTGGAGTCTTTAATTGCTCAAGCTTATCTACTTTCCTTAGATGCAGTTAATAGTTTCTGGGTTTCACTTGTTGAGATTTTCTGTCTAGTATGTAGGATTGCCTGTGGATGTCTAGATTTTGATCCCTTTGTGGGTGTTATATGTAATTGTCACGGAAGTGTTGTTGACTTGGGAAAGTGAAATCTTTTCCAAGTTTGACGGCAAATCAATTTAATGATCCTGAAATTTAGTTGGAACTTGCATTGATGTGCTCCGTGCAAGATGTAGTCATCCTTATTGAGCCATGCTCTGGGAACAAAATCCAGTTATTTGCCATATAACCATCTTGTTATCAATTTACGACCACTGTGCAGGCAGGGTTCCTCTGGAAGATGATTGTATTTTATGTGCAATTTATGTTGGGCGCTAACAAATTGCTTTGTTATCTTTTGATATTCACTTCTTGTGTTTTATTTGCAATTTATTTCTCATCATCTCTTCATTTGACCGCTCCATTACTGAGGGGGATCCAAACTAGCACCTCTGTTGTGTTTTCTTTTTCTGTTAATAAAGAGTGCATGAGTAGGCCGTATTTAGGAGAATGAGAAAATGCGGTATATGGGTATTTTAATGAACCAAGTATTTGGAAACCAAGATAAAATGGGCAGGGTTGATTGGAAGACACAAGTATTGAACTTAGTGAGACCTGGTTTAGTTTTTTTCGCAACTTGACGAAATAAAAATTTAGGAATATTACAAATAAAGACTGTAGAAATTGTAATATTCTAAATCAGGAATCATAACAGCATTTTAATTAGTTTTGATGATAATTAATCTGTAAAGTGAGAATTTCTCATTTGAAATTTATAATTTCTACTATCTTTTTTGTTTTATAATTTTCCCTAAAAACTTTCTATTATTAATTAAATTTATCAAAAGGTAACAAAAGTAGGAGGGAGGAAACATAAGTTCTAAGCAATAAAGAGTGAGGGGAACCACTGAGGGTTAAATCTAGATGAAGGGGCTAGTCTTTTAATATATGACGAATCAAGATTTGAATTCCGGTTAAAAGAAGTGCTTATATGTAGTGTCTAAAAATGTCTTGAACAGGATTATTTCTAATAGGAAGCTATTTATGCTTAGAAAAAAAAACGATGGGGTGGAATGAAAAAAGACTATGGGTGTGGATTCCCTACACCATCATCTACTTTGGAACTGCATGGAATCTTTCATAACAAATCAATCATCATTAATTAGTATGATGGGAGTTGTTTAGAACTAAATGCGCTTAAGAGTTGGATTCAGATTTTTATAGGACCTAATTTAAAAGTTAATGTTAGTTATATATATAAGACCTAGTTTATATATTTATTAATTTTTTTCTAAATTAACCCTATTGCCATTTTCTCAACATTAATCAAGTAAGAGAGGGAGCAAAAAATTAAGAAAGATAATTATGGTGTTTTAAGGAAAAAAACATATCATATTAACTAATTTAATTAGCGTTCTTAATATACTGCCTCTGGTCCTAATTATAAGATCTTGTTTGTAGTTTACAAATAAAATTTTATAATTAAGATTGAAAATAGTACTTAAATTAATTAATTAGATCTTATATTAAGCAGCGGATGAGTGTGTGCATATGTAGTCCGAACCTCAAGATGCGATAAAATCAATCTGAAACACAAGCGCGTGGATGGGAAAGAATAATGGTTTCTTAGTTGCTTCTGCTGAAACTTGTATGGGTCTCGACTTTAATATATTCGAGATTCGAGATTCGAGATTCGAGATTCCACAGGAATAATTGCGACATTACTGGTCCCAAAAAAAATTGCCAGACTTATAATGGATCTTACTGGACCACCATGCAACTCGCAACAAAGATACCAATATCTCTTATCCTAAATTAGCATTTATTATGCAATTTATCCTATAAATTAGATTTTATATTTAAAACAAAAAGTAATATATTCAAATTTTAAAAAGACGTTTAATTCTTTTTAAGTTAATAAATTCCCCAATATACGCAATATGTTAAAAAAAATTAGTAGATTTAATCATAAAATGAGGAAGTATAAAAATACTGTTTATTATATAAGTTTTATCCATTCACGTCACAGGGGGTTTTCTAAATTTTGTCAAAGTTATTTGTTTTTTACTTTTAAAATTCAAACGGGCATCTCACAAAAGCAGAATATCGATACATACTTTTGTTTAATTTTAATTTTTGGTAATGAAATCTCATAATAATTTAAATACATATTTTTATTAAAAATATATAAATGATATTTTGATTAAAAGAATAATATACCTACTTCCAAATAGAACCAGTAATACAGGCCAACCCGCCCGTTTTGGGTTGGCCCAATGGTGGGCTCAAGGATTGACTAGTTGATTCTAAAAGAACCAACTTCTAACGGGCTAATATTTTACCAACCCAGCCCGCCAAGATAGATTGGTGGGTTAGACTCGTTGACCCGCCACTTTTTCTTTTTTTAGATTTTTTTTATGCCTTTTGTTTTCTTTTAATAAAATTTATTCAAATTCTTAAACACCTAAAATAAAATATACATATAGAAATTACCATAAATAAAATATGAAATCCAAAGTTTCAAACATTCCAAAATATTACTATAAACATGCATGATACATCATCCTAAATGATTAAACATACATCCAGAGTTAAAACATAACAAATGTAAATTAATAATAATACAAACACAATGTTACAAATTACTATCAAGTGCTCAACCATGAGCCACCACTCAATGTTGATATAATTCGAAGAATGATATGAAGATGTAAAATTATTTGGTTAAACTTCATAAGTAGAATTACCATCTTTTTGCTCAACTAACTTTACCACAAATAAAATTCATAATGCAAAATAAAAGATATATTACCTTATGATAATTTTAAATAATAAGAATGAGATAAAAGACAAAAAAAGTAAACATAATTATATTTGAAAGGGAAAAAAAATTTAAAAAAAAAAGGCCATGGATTCGGTCTTAGTGGTTATGGGTTCAACAATTCTGTTTTAAAACAAGTCTAGTTTTTATTAACACCACTTCTTGACGGGTTAGCAGGTTGAGCACGGTTATTACCAGCTCTACTTCCACGATCCAAGTTCACCAAACTGACAATCTGGTCCCCCATCATTTAACTAAAGTTATCCATTATATCCAGAGCAGATAACTACAAGCACTTCTCGACTACCTAGCATTAAAATATCCACCGAATTTTCTCCGACAAAAACGTATGTATGCACGCATTGAAACTCGTCGAAAGAAAATCCAGATCCCAATTTTTGTTCAAGGCATTGGCAGATTATACAAGATTACAAAAACATTAACTCCCAATTACAATATAAAACGGTTTTGATAACAGTAACACCAAGGACCTATGAAGTCCCAATAGCTAAATCAGCTGTAAAACCAGAGTAGTTAGTATATCAAACTTCCAAATCTACAAGAAGCATATCATAACGAGCATGGGTGTGTTAGAAGCAGACCTTTATTTTCATGATATACAAATACATGACCGGCATTGAGTTACATTGACATCAAGAAGCCATGCTTGGAAAGGAGAGGATGAAAAAGCCAAAAAGGAGGGAAAACAAAACACAGGCAAGAGAAAATAACAACATTATTTGGAGTAAGGGAAAAGATCTTCACTTTCTCCACGTTGTTGCCCTTCATCATCATGTCAAAACCTCCTAGTTTTTCGTGGAAAGCCGTTTCAGAAACTCGTAGGTCGTGATCATTGTCGTTGCAGACATTGACATGGAAACCCACCGAGGTCCCAACCCTCTGTAACAAGCTGTCCAACCACCTTCCTTAACCAAGTTCCTCACTGTTTGCATAGCTGTAGGCCCTCGGCGGCCATTTTCCTCACCATCTAAGACCTGTAGTCTTGTTTTGATTGTATCCAAAGGCATGGTAATTAAAGCAGACATACCACCAGCAATTGCAGCACTAACTCCCTGAACTGCCATTACTGTCTTTGAATCCGGTTTCAATGTGGTAGCTGCAGTATTGTTGCTGTCATCACCTTTCTTGCAAAGATAGTACCCAACTCCATCCCATATCAGCCTTTGTGCAACAGAGTAAGAAGCCCACCAAACTGCATTTGAAGGAGCATAAGTCAAAATGGATATCCCAAACCCTCTGTACAATCCTCTGGGACCATCAGTGTTAAGGATTTTTCTGAAGGCATCAATCCCATTGATGTAATTGCGCGCTGAATTAGCCACATGATTGTTAGGGTTTTTACACCCACCTTGAACCATCAATCTCTGGCTCACAACATCAATAGGCGTCCACACAAGTTGAGCTGCCATGGCTGCGCTCAAACCTCCTGCTGCATTGGCAACTGCAGCTGCAGTTGGTTCTGCAAGTCCTAGCCTAACGGTAGCAGTACCTACATTACTCTTAGTGACCTCCAAGGCAGCCATGTACAGTGCTCGAGCTGGGATTGTGCCCATCAAGGAAGTCCCAAATCCCCTGTACAATGCTCTAAAGCCCTCAAGCCTAACCAGTGAAATTGCAGTTTTGAGGCATGAAACTTGGGATTGAGCTACCTGCTGCCTGGTTTTCAACACCACAACAGGATAGAGAGTCGCTGAGACCCCTGAAAAAAGGGCAGCGCCAAGAAAGAAAAACTTCGATTTATCAAGCATTTGCCAATCTATATCGGCCGGGATATGAATCTCCTGACCCGATTCTTCCTCGGCCGCTCTCAAACTCATTTTCGCCACTTCCGAATTCTACCCCCTCAAAAGTTTTTCAGCCGAATAATACACGAAAACTAGTTCGCTCAAATTCCTCTAACCCCAACATTACTGCCAACCCACTCCCATCCTGTAGAACCCTAACTGTACAATTGCAACCTTAACGACCCCACAACGGAAGTTAAAGAAAAAGTGAAATAAAAGTACAAACCCCCCCAAAAAATATCTAACTGTACAATTCGCCATACGATCCCATAGATTACAAATTAAAAGGACATATCAGAAGGAATCAGAAAACGTAACATGATTTTCTCCTCTTGTGGAACCAGGTTTCGGATCGAACATGAGCTACGATGAACAGATCTAGCATTTCTAGATAAACAAACAGAGTACTACAAGCGAATCCGAATCATACCAGAAGTTCACATCTGGCTGGAAAACCTAAGGCATCACTCGCCGACGGGGAAGCATTCGAGCAGAGTTAAGTGCGCGCGCCTGCCCGCTAGACTGATATGCAGAGAGAAAAGAAATGGGCAACCGGATGAACCATAGGAGTCTGCGCAGTCGAGGGAGCCGGAGAAACGGAAGTAGAAGTGGAAGGATAAGGGGGGAACCGACACGTGTCAGTTGTGAATTGTTTGTTCTGAGGAGTTTGTTTTTATTTCCTGAATTGTGTCAGGAGTACGTGCGGTGATAATTGACGTGGTAACGCCTTATCCATGACCGAGACGGACTTCTGATCCGATGCGACATGCCTCGTGCATCCCATGGGCTAATCGAATCATATCATGCCACGTAATCCATTCTTTTAGCTTTTCCAAATAAAAGAGGTACTAACCCGAAACCCTAGGGGGGAAAAAATTCTAAAAATAACGTAGTGTTCGATTAATAGGCTAAAGAATCTCGGGCGAAAAAAATTAGGATAAGGGATAAATAAAAAATTACTGAAATGGAAAAAAAAAATCAAAATTCAACTTTCAATCCATGTTGAAATTAAGGCTTTTTTTTTGCCAACGAAACTAGGGTTTGTATCAAGTTAATCCATTTTCTCTTTAATCTTGAGATCTTCTCAATCTAATCTTTATTAAATATGAAGTCTTCTAAATTAGTGAAAAAGTGTAATAACTTAATTAGAATCACATAGACTTGCTCACATTATATTCTGATTTAGTTCATGAAACTTCCTAATTTAATCCTTTAGAAGGTGGCCCCAAAAAAAAAATCCTTTAGAAACTTATGCCCCAATTAAGCGGCCCCAAAAAGCTTGATTGAGAAGATCTGAAGATTAAAGAGAAAAAGGGTTAACTTGAACAAACCTTAATTTTCTAGCAAAAAAAACCTTAATTTCAACATGGATAGAAAGTTGAATTTTGATTTTTTTTTTTTTCACTTCAGCAATTATTTATTATTATTTTTTTCAAAATATTCTTTTATATTGAAATGGACAGGTTCAGTACCTTAGGTCCATTAGCTCCAGTTAACCAATCAAATGCTGCCATCTCAAATTTTTTTGGTTGTTCAGCGTATCTTTCCACCCAAACGGTGAGAGACTAATCTCTCGAGGTACTGTCAAGCGTCGTAGTGGAAACCTTTTCTAACAGTGTTTATTCCATACATACCACTCCAAGGATCGAACCCAAGACATAATGTTTAAAGTGCCCAGGTCTCTTCTACTTGGATAAACACTTATTATCCAACCAAATGCTGCCACCTCAATTATTTTCACATATTGGCACTTAACATTGCTAAACCACCGTTATCCTACCAAAACTTTCTTCTCTCTTCTGTTAACATTGTAACTAAAGACTAGCAACGCCTCTCTTTCAAACCCACCCTTCAATCTTTCTGCCACACCCTTGACCTCTCTATAACTCCGACCACCCTCTTCCTATGAGGCTTGATTTAGAGAATCAAACTTTTGACTTAAGTTCATTACTCAGCAAAAATAAGAGCTTGATTTTCTAGAACCCAACCCAAAACTAGTGACTCATTTGCTAGTGAAACTGGCCCGGTTTCAACCGAGTTCGAAGAGAGCAAAGAATGGTGCAAGCAAAACAAAAGGTGGATGTAGGGGATACTCTATTCTTGATCGGTCCGTGTCAGATTTCTCAGCAACAACATTACAGAAGGATAATCAGAAGCCTGCAAGTACTGTGATGCCATCGATAGCTAGGAGTTTTGAGAGAGTGTCCAATCTGAAAGGGAGAAAGTTGATGAATAATGCAGAGAAGAAGAGGGGTGATGATATTACAATGGTAAGAAGAGCTACCGTGCCATTGATGAACTCAATTTCTCTTTGGCAATGGGTGATGCAATTACTAGTGAAAGCAAAGCGGGAGGAAAGGGGACTTTTCTATGAAGTCTCTAGGTTTAACGATAACACACGGGAGGAGGAGAAATCTAAATGCACTATTAATCTTTTTTTTCCCATGTGCTTTCTATTCACCAAAACATAACACATAGCGAGAGAACCTTTTTTTTTTGGGGCACTTTTTTTCTTCTCTTTCATATGTTTTTCCATCCAAAAGTATTAAAATGTTTTTTCCTGGGGTTTAATGCTGGAAAGAGAATCTCAATTAGTTGTCATTCTTGTAAAAGACAAACTCAATTTTTAGTGTACTCATTTTATTAGGTTTTAAATAAAGCTTTTCATATAAAAAAAAAAAAAGGCACAGAAACAGAAATAAGTGCAATTATCATTACCCTACTATTTGAACTATATTATCTCTTATCGTTAATATAAGACTCAATTAATTAATTTAGAAAAATTTAGAAAGTTAATAAACTACTTTGAAGTATTTATATATATTGTTTGTCTCCAAACTAATTTGTTTTACTTATAAACTAACATATAATTTAATAATACAAATAAACATTTTAGAGAATTCGTATAATATATGTTATAATTAAGTAATTTAGTATATTTTTTAATTTTTTTTAAATTAGTCAACTGGGTGTTATATTTCTTATGACAAAAACAAAGATTATATTAGATTTAATCAATTAATTAAACAGTTAATTTCTTCTATATCAATTCATATCTCATGTCGTTACTCCAACCAAAGATGTTATGCTACATTCGATTCCTAAAATAAAATTTCAATTTATTTTATTTTTTATATTTATCTATTTTATCTTCAAGTTAACAAGAATTATTTCAATGGGACAAAACTTAGGTCTAGTTATCCAACTAAATGCTGCCACCTCAATTATTTTTACACATCAGCACATAACGTGGGTCAAATGTGTATTTTTCTTAGGGAAATTTAGAAAAAATGTGGGTTTCATGCATCTTTTTTTCTTCACTCTTATTTTCTTTTTATTTCATCCTCATATCCAAAGTTCCAAACAGCCAAAAAAAAATATTTCCTATTGTGAACAAAAAACGGGCGGGCTTAATAATGGACTGCACTATCCAGGCAAGGACTTTTGCTCCATGTCTAATATGGCCCAGCCCAATTTCCGTCCTCTACGGGCAGATCCATCAGGCCTATACGTTTTGTCACTTTTGGGGATAGATTTTGTGAAGAAAAATTTGGTTTAAAAAGAATTAACTTTTTTTTGGTGATAAAAAAGAATTAATTTTTCTTGCCAATAAAATAGAATTCTATCATTTTATGATATGTTTATTATAATAAAAATAAATAAGTAATCTTATTATTCATCTGCTTAGCTGAATAAGATCAAATACAGCAATGAAAGAAAATGACTATTCATAATACGCTTACAATTCAGAACCTAACATTTAAATCATTCAACTCATTTTCCTAAATTTTAACCATTTAACTTATCAATCTTTACATTTTTAGAAGATACTCCTTCCAGCTTTATATATAAATAACTGAATTACATGAATTAAAATTTTTAAAATTAATTAAAAATAATAAATGTGTAACAATGTATTTTTTTTTTAAAAAAACCTTATTTATGAAGAGGGTGAAAGAGAAAATGAGTGAGAAAAATATGAGAAAGAGTCTATCCAAAAAGAATAAAATATAATTCTTAGTCAATATGTAATAATTAAAGCGAGACATTTAATCAATCTTTGTAAAAATGAAAAAATGATTTAACTTTCCTATTTAACAATGATAGTTTATAGATAGAATTGAAAAGGGATAGCTCTATTTAAAAAATTATAATTTATAGATAGAATTGAAAAAGGATCCAGTACTGAATTATAATCGGTTTTCAAACTAACTAAAAAGTTAGATTTTATGGGTTGCAAACTTGAATCGATTTCTCAGGTTAAAAAAAAAATAAATTTGAATCGATTTATGAATAATTAATTTTTTTAAAAATAAAAGTTATAATGTGTTAGACACTTTGACTACCTTTATTGCTCGGTGGGGGACGGCGGCGGCTTGCCTCCGCAAAATCTTCCATTCCTTTCAATCTTTCATAAATAACCCCACCACACCAATACGAACGCTCCACTCTCTCTCTCTCTCTCTCTCTCTGTGATGGCGTCTTCTCCACTATTGCACTCTTCTTCCTTCTCCTTCCAATGCAAACCCTCTCCTCCACACCCACTGCACAAATCCATCTTCATAATCAACGCTCACTCTAAACCTGGATCCTCCACGCCCCTCTCTCACAACAACAACAACAATAACAAGAACAACCCCCCCTCGCCGCCACTCCCACCGGTGGTTCCAAAAAACCGCCGCCCTGCCGACGAGAACATCCGCGATGAGGCTCGCCGCAAATCTGTGACTTACACCCCTCAATTCTCCGCCAAGTACGTCCCCTTTAATGCCGATCCTTCATCCACAGAATCCTACTCTCTCGACGAGATCGTGTATCGGTCCCAATCTGGTGGGCTTCTTGATGTTCAGCACGACATGGAAGCTCTGAAGAAGTACGATGGTCAGTACTGGAGATCCCTGTTTGACTCTCGTGTGGGTAAAACCACATGGCCTTACGGCTCCGGTGTTTGGAGCAAGAAGGAATGGGTGTTACCCGAGATCGACAGTGACGATATCGTGAGTGCATTCGAAGGAAACTCGAATCTCTTCTGGGCTGAACGTTTTGGCAAGCAATTTCTAGGCATGAACGATTTGTGGGTCAAGCACTGTGGGATCAGCCATACTGGGAGTTTCAAAGATCTGGGTATGACTGTTTTGGTGAGCCAAGTTAACAGGTTGAAAAAAATGAATCGTCCTGTCGTGGGTGTTGGTTGTGCTTCCACGGGGGACACCTCTGCTGCTTTATCTGCTTATTGTGCTTCTGCAGGAATCCCATCAATTGTGTTTTTGCCTTCAAATAGGATTTCCATTGCTCAACTGGTCCAGCCAATTGCAAATGGTGCATTTGTGTTGAGCCTTGATACAGATTTTGATGGATGTATGCATTTGATTAGGGAAGTTACTGCTGAGTTACCTATATACTTGGCCAATTCTCTGAACAGCTTGAGACTAGAAGGGCAGAAAACTGCAGCTATTGAGATTTTGCAGCAGTTTAATTGGCAAGTACCTGATTGGGTTATAGTGCCAGGAGGGAATCTTGGAAACATCTATGCATTCTATAAAGGATTTCACATGTGCAAAGAGTTAGGACTAGTTGATAGGATTCCGAGGCTTGTTTGTGCTCAAGCCGCAAATGCTAATCCTCTCTATCTCTACTTCAAGTCAGGGTGGAAAGAATTCAAGCCTGTAAAGGCCAACACTACATTTGCGTCTGCCATACAAATTGGTGATCCTGTTTCAATAGATAGAGCTGTTTATGCTCTGAAGAACTCAAATGGCATTGTTGAGGAAGCGACAGAAGAAGAACTAATGGATGCTATGGCCCAAGCAGATTCTACTGGCATGTTCATATGTCCTCATACCGGGGTTGCTTTGACCTCATTGATTAAATTAAGGAAAAGGGGGGTCATAGGGCCTACGGATAGGACTGTGGTAGTCAGTACTGCTCATGGGTTGAAGTTTACACAATCAAAAATTGATTACCATTCAACAGATATCAAGGACATGGCTTGCAAATTAGCTAATCCACCAGTGCAAGTGAAGGCGGATTTCGGGTCAGTTATGGATGTCTTGAAGAAATATTTGCTAAGCAAGGCGCCAAAACAATAGGTTAGTTTTGCATGTTTTGCTGTTGTATCCTTTCTTTGCTGGTTTTTTAGTTCATTGCGCAATGTTGTCTGTTAGCTTCTAGATTTCTGCCTCAGTGTTCGCAAGCTGCTCTATATTGGAGCTTCTGCTATGTGATCCATCTCTACTGAGCATTTAATACCGCTGGAGAACGTGAATTGAATGGAACGTGGTGCTGGTTCTATTACAAAAGGTTCAAGGCAAAAAAACTTGTAATAGAAAGCCCTGCTCTGACTTGTCTTAACTTCAAGCTTTTCCTTTTTAGTTCTTGTTGCTTGGCGTTTTGGAAGAATCTTCATCTCGTCAAGCATAAGCTCACCATGGATCAATGAATGTTGACTTCTGTGAAATGAGGGAGGAGAGAATCATGCAAGCCCTAGTGAGCCAAGCGGAGAAAAAGATTTCTTGGTCGTTGAAGGCATTATATTAACATGAGTGCTGGGCTCTCAGGAAAAGAAGTTTCCATTTGTGTTTTTTTGGTGGGACGCAAAGACAGTGATATTAAAAAGATGGAGTAAATCTACAGGTCAGCAAATATAGTAGGACTAAAACGGCCATTAAGAAACCTGAAAAAACAATAATAGTAAACAACTTTAAGAATCGGTGAAGAAAAAGCAAGGAGCATGGATAGAATATCCAGCTGTGCTATGTTGCAGAGAGAGGTATTCCTGTTATCAGGATGTATAAAAATCTTCTGAAAGCAGATGATATGCAAGGCAGGCTTTTCAAGAGAATGTGGGGGAGCCGAGTTGAGGATCCAACTGATAGCAGCCCTGAAGCGTAGCTTGATGAAATTATGAACCGATCTCCTTTTCCGGCAGATTTGTTGCAAGGACGATCCCTGATAGCATATGACCGCATGACAGTATAATTGCCTTTGCATTTTCCTTTTCTGGAGGATTTTGGTCCAACCAGTATCATTCAGAGTCATGGATTGGTAAGTTTCAATTTATGTTTTAGAATCGATATAAAACAGCTGTATTTCAGCTGCATAATTCTATATCAATATTATATATAATAAGGTTTGACTAACTAACAAAAGTTAGTTCAATTGGTAAGTATTTGACCTATAACCTATAAGATAGGTTCTGCCATTAATGTCAAAACTTTGTTAATAAGCAATTCGTAAAAGCATGTTATGCTTCTCATGAACATTAAAAATCCAATTCACTTAAACTTTTTATCACAACAAGAAAAGGTTAGACTGTTGGGGAAAAAAGGAGAGCCATGAGCATAAGTTGTCATAGTTGATCAAATTACTTTTTCCTGGACATAAAAAAATGAAGAATTTCTTTGCAAAGCTGGAAAAAATGATTATGACTCAAATGTATCTTTGATTATATTAAAGTTGCCCCATTTTCATGTGCACAGAGTAACAAATTATGCAGAAGGAATCTATATGATTCTCAATGAGTCGACCCCCACCCCCACCCCCACCCCCATCTTCGTTCTTCTCCCCTAGCGCAGAATAATGTAAACTGTAGTTACAGCAGAAACACACCTAAAGTAATCAGTGCAGCAATTGTAAAAATTAGAGCCTGCAAAAACCGTAACATTTGATATAAGAGAAGATACAGAGACCAATCTTCCTCATAATGGTAAGAAAAAAGATTCAAATGACATGCAAATTACAATCTTCTTACAGAACTTTTGACAAGCAATAAATGGAAACACTTGTAGCAATAGCAGAAGCAGCTAGTCCGGTTCGCTCTCCTGGATCCTTGAGGCAGTAATTGTTAAAGTGGAGAATTGTGGCATAATACCATATCGGTGGGCATACAAGTCCAAGCAGGAGGCTGGTGAGAAAAAGAAGAACCTTCAGCGATCAAACTATGCAAGAGGTAAAGAGAAGAATGTGAGAGAAAAAAAGCAAAATATATGCAAATAATAACCCACGAAATCCATCCAATTCCAAACCCAAAACAGGGAAGTGGCTTATCAAATTTTCCCAAAAGTGGGTCATCTGAATTCTTAACGCAAACTTCTTGCCATTTCCCTGCTCCTTTTTGTCCCTTCAGAGCCTTGTCTGAATCAATTCAAACTTCAATGACTAGTTACTTTCAAGTCCGGATCCTCTGCCTTCACAGAAATGGCCACATCTGATGCACTGAGGGAGAAATAGAAAGGGAAAAATTGTAATTATAAAATATTCACACACACACACACACACACACACACACACACACACCTCATACACAATCAAATCCCTTGTGCGACACTCTCTCTGAAGTCATGATTGCAGTTGATTTATCTTCTGTTTGCTTAGATCTCAATGGTATAATACCCTTATCTGCAAATCATAATATTCACAACGCGATTGGAAAGAACTCACAAAAAAAAAAAAAAATCAAATGGGTGGAGTTTTTTTTTTTTTTTTTTACATGTAAGAGGAATTTTGTTTCGTAAAGCATAAAAATACTTTTTGAAGCTAATCCAAATAGCTTCAAATATGTCCTGGAGTAATAAGTTGATTTAAACATTCAAAATCTCAAACTGCGATGAGGGCTTTCCCATTCATATCACATATGAATAGCTTAATACAAATATTTTGATCTGAACAATTTTATTTTCATTCTAAATCTCTTGCATTTGATGGCCATGAACTAAAGCAAAACTAAGCAAAGGCTCAACTTCCTCTCAAGACATAGAATTTTTTCAACCCATAGAGAAGGACGAAGGCACAAAGACAAAACTACAGGAAACTAGATTACATGTATGAATAAGAATGGAACTTTCACTTGAGAACAACAAAGAAGCCTGAAGATTGACATTAAGATGATCGAGAGTTTGCACTTTTACAAGGTACCAATACCAACCGTCGTTGAGCCAAAGGTTCAAAGAAATGTCCGTCCTGCAAAACGGGTAATTCGCATGTTCCTAAACCCACCCATCGATGTAATCTACGAGGAAGACATATCAGATCACCGCTTCTTGGCCTGCCAAGTTATGATCTCAGATCCCGCCACCGGCATGCGGCCGGAGGGTCTTCTCGCCGGCGGCAAGAATAAAAAGGGAGGAACGAGATCTATAACAGCCGGTGGAAAACATAATATCGGGCCTATTTTGAAAGCAGGGCTATTATGGCGATTCACATATATGCCATGTAAACTTTTATTCCAAAAAGTTAAATTTGCATCAGATTTTTTATAAGATATATCACTTCTATCCTAAATAATTTATACTACAAACTAGTTCTTATATTTAAGATTGAAAATAATACTTCTTTTTCTTCTTTTTAATTTAAAGTGTAGTAGTTAATAGACTAACATTAGAGGGAAATTAAACTCGTACCTTTTACTTACAAGAAAATTTTTATATTATTACATTATAAGGTCATAAATATGAATTTGATATACTTGTACACATCATTTTTTTTTTTCGCCAGCACTTTTACACATTATTTAAACAAACATGGCGCTGTATTGTTAAATGATAATTTAACTTTTTTTTTTTGGGGACAAAGACGATTTAACTAATTTAAATTTGATTATTAATTATTAAAATGCTTCATCTACACGATTTAAAATTTCAAATGCCAAGCAATGCTTGCTGGTCAAAATAGAGAAAGGAAATCTTTTTTTTTTTAATTTTGGGTGAGGAGAGGAAAGGAAATATTTGAACGTTAGTTAGTAACGATCTTTTCTTCGGACCATTCCCGCCAACTATACTAAAAAGGGGGTCGCGGGGGGAGAAACTTATATTGGTTTTCTTCCGCGATTCCCAAATCGGCACCCACCATCGGCCTGCTCGGTGGGGCTGTTGGTGCCGTCGATGGATCTCTCACTAAAGGCTTCGAAGTCAGGACAAGGCCCTGCCGCGGCAGAGGACATCGGAGCGACGGTGATCGCCATTGATAAGGATAATAACAGCCAACGCGCAGTCAAATGGGCCGTGGATCACCTCGTAAAGAACTCATGCACCCTTATCCATGTTCGCACCAAGGGATTTCATCCCCGTAGGTATTCTCCTCTGTCACCCCCATCATCATGATCATTATCATTAATATTACCCATTTGAAACTTAGAGGAAATCCATAGGCTTTAGTAAGGTGCCATTGTCACGGTTTGGTGTGTTAAACATAAAAGTGGTGTTTGAAATATTGTCGATCTAAAATTTAGAAGCCTTTAGATTTGGTTTATGTCATTCTAGGTAAATGTAAAAGGTGTTTTTGATCATGTCTGACCAAAACTTAGAATAACCCAGAGGTTGTTCTTCGACGTGTTTCTTCCTTTGTTCATCTATACTTATAGGGTATCTGTGAAAATGTCTGATTAAAACCTGTGAACAAATTTTACCCGACTGATACATGCCATGAAACCTTTCTTCTTTCCAATTATTTTGTGCAGAAAATGTTGAAGTTGCCCATAAAGAAGGAGTCCCTCCATCGGGCGAAGAAATGCATCAATTTTTTCTTCCCTTTCGAGGATTCTGCGCTCGAAAAGGGGTGCGTTAGTCTATTCAATTAATTTTAAGAATAGAGTTAAACACGTTCAACTCTTCATTTCTCTCATTTGGTATTCCCCACAGACTAGATTGAAGTGCACGCATATACACTTGTGTTTATATATAATTGGTTTGTATCTATAATCACTGAGCATTTCAGATAGAAGCAAAGGAGTTGGTTCTGCATGACCTTGATGTCCCAAGCGCCCTTACTTATTATATCATTAACAAGTGTATCAGAAACGTTGTTGTTGGTGCTTCTCACCGTAATGTTATTACGAGGTACGAGGTCTTTCTCTCTACGTCTGACTCACACACACAAGCAAACATGTCATGGTAACTAACGTGTAGACATGGTTATCTATAAAATGGATACTGTGTTGGCTTTTCCAATGAATTGCTGTAAGATATTGCCAAAAAAGGGAACATTTATGAATGACGCAATAAATGTAGCAATTTGAGAATTGACTCTTCTTTGGTCAAGTCCAAAGAATATTTACTAAGCCACAAAGTTGATATGATTAATATGTACATGAGAATTATATCAGTTGACCAATTCGGGGCTTGTTCCTAACTGCAGGAAATTCAAAGATGCAGATATCCCAACTTGCTTAATCAAGTCTTTGCCTGAATCCTGCTCAATATACGTTATATCAAAAGGAAAAGTACAAAATATCAAACCAACTGGTCAGAATCAAAGTTATCGCATCATAGCGACTAAATCTATAAGAGACAGTCACCGGGGAAATTCTCAGGCTGATGATTCGCAGAGGTTCCCTAATATCCCAGATTCTGAAGAAGAAAACAGGTATATATACCAGATATTAGTAATGCTTTTATTCAAAAATATTAATACTTGGATAGCAAATTCGGGTGATGAATTGCCTGATGTTCTAATTCTTACTCTAAAATTCATCCAGCATGATGGTATGAAATGGGTGATAACTTTCTTTGTTGTGATTTAAATTCCTTTACCAACTAAAGGAAATAGAGAAAGCATGGCAGAGGGCATTCGAGTTAATTGTTTCTAAGAACTTCTTGCTTGTCTGATTAAGTTCATGGTTACATAATATTCACATGGCACTTAGTGCACTCTTGTTTATGCAGAGATTCAGTTAGCCATGCAAGTGGACAGGGCTCAACCCTGGATGGAGAGTCTAATAGTCAAAATCATACCTCTGCACAAAATGTACAGAATGAATCAAATGGAGAAGATGATTCATCAGTATCAAATCAAAATCCATATTCCTTTATTAGTGATATGTCGGGGCCGAATAGTTTTCAATCAGATGATAAGTTCCATGAAAACCAAGTACTCGAGAACTCGGACAGCTGCAGGAGCCTATCTTCAAAAAGCCCAGTAAGTACCACGTTTTAGGATGACAGGACCACTCTTGTTCAGGATCGTTTGGCACTCATAATAATTCGGTTGTGTGGCATAATAATATCAAAGATTAGGTGTGCTTCACCAATGGTCGATCTAGACCACAACAAATGGATAGGGCTTGAATATGTTTGATATATATTGCCCCACCATTTTGCAAACATAATGATGCAGCCCATATTATTTTCTTTGGAGTTTAAAGACTAACAAAAGATATTGGGTGTGGTATTCATTTTCTACTGAGCATGCGATGAAGACGCTAGACTGTAACAACCAGAAGCAACCAATCATATAAAAGTCAAGCTAGTATACTTAAGAATCCTTGAGCAATTTCTAGCAAATCGAAACGGGCCTTTTAGTTCAGAATTACTAATATTCAAAAGTGAACCATTTAGTTTATCATGGCACTTTCCTTTATGTGGAATCGTGCGAGGAAAAACAAAATTAAGAAAGATTAGCAACCAAAATATCCCTACACCTTAGGGGAGGTTTGGTGAGAATCCTGACGGCTATGTCCATGTGGTAAGCTTAATCAGCAAGCTAGTCCATGAATTTATTTGCTTCTCTAGGTATATTATCAAAGGTGACAATCCAATTACGCATGACGACATACCTAACATTCTTGATAGTCACTATTTAGTGGATGTTTCAGGGAGTGTTCATTCTAAATGAGTCTAGGAGCCTCCACCAAGTCATTGACTTTGGAGAATTTCCCATCCTAACAAAGTTTTCAATCTATCAAAAATGCCCAATCGTGGCACTTTTCCAATGTTTGGGATGTAATGAATCGTTTGAGCGGTTGTATATGTGACTGTGCACTAAAAAGGGGGAAAAGAGGATTGAGGTTTAGCACATATGCCAAGATACTGTGAAATTTTAACATTATATGAAACTTCATGTTGTGTTTATATTTTTTGACGAATGATGATGAGGTTGAGTTTTTATTGATTGTTACCACTGATGGTTCGTTCAATCTTCGATCATTAAAAACCTTAATGAGCTTGAATCTAACATAAAATAACTTTCACGCATATAGCTTGCACATTTTTTAATTAGTTTCCGTCATAGGGGAATTGTTAACACATTGCTTTCCCTTTTTGCATGGATTATCGAACAGAAAGCCTTGGAGAGAGAAATAAGAAAATTAAAACTGGAACTGAAAAAAACGATGGAGAAGTATAGTTTAGCTTGCAAAGAAGCTATTGAAGGAAAAAAGAAGGTAATTTCATATTATATTTTGTAATGATGTGATGGATTTTAGAATAACCTACTGAAAAAGAAAACTTAAAAAGAGACTGGTATTTTGTCATTTAGGTAATGAAGCTTGAACAGATTAGGGAAGAAGAAGGACGCAACTTAGAAAGAGCCATGCTCGCTGAAGAGGCTGCATTGGCTTTGACAGAGGTAGAAAGAGAGAAAACCATGGCTGCATTGGAGTCAGCACAAATGGCAAAACTCCTAGCAGAAATGGAGGCTGAGAAGAGAAAGCAGGCAGAAATGAAGGCTATGCATGAGGAAGAGGAGAAGAAAAAAGCAGTAAATGCACTTGTACAGAATTTTATCCGATGTAGAAGATATGATATTTCAGAAATTGAGGTTGCAACAAACCACTTTGACAATTCATTGAAAATTGGTGAAGGTGGATATGGACCTGTTTTTAGGGCAATGCTCGATCACACTGTTGTTGCCATCAAGGTCTTGAGACCAGACATAGCATCTGGGGAGAAGCAATTTTTCCAAGAGGTATCATAAGTTTCTTTTAGCAGATTCTTGGAGAGATGAACGTCATGTCGGAGATTTCATTTCTGATGGCAGAATGGGACTTTATTTTGTTAAATTGGAACCTGTTATTTACAATTTTGATAGCATAACTCAAATATCCATGACGAAACAAAGTTAATCTGTGAAAATTTGATCTCAGAGTGAAAATCAAGCACAGTCCAAAGCTTGGCTCTTAGAAGGGCCTCCTCATCTCATAGAAAAAGAACATGATGCTACTCATGGAGGTTGGGTTTAGTGGTAAATAACTCAACACATCTTAAGCAAGACTAAGTGTTCAAACCATGCAAGTAGAAAAAATTACATTGAGAGAGATATCTTTTATTTGTTATTTATAATACTCGAAATGGAACATAACTGTATTTTTTTTTTAAAGAAAAAAAAAAGAAGGGTTACTTGTTCCCCACTACATTGCAACTCTATAAGGTGCAACATTTGCACAAGTAGATGATGTGATTTAATGCATTCACTCATCTAAGCAGACTGCAAAAACAAGATATTTAATTGTCAAAATTTGGCGAAGTTCAGGAATTGTTCCATAGGTTCAAAGTTCAATATTTGTGAGTTCAATAATCCCCCGTGTCTAGCATCTATGAAAATTATGAATCATAGTATGAGTTATCTTCTCTTCTACTTATTTCAATGCAGGTTGAAGTTTTGAGCACCATAAGACATCCTAACATGGTTCTACTCCTAGGTGCCTGCCCAGAGTATGGATGCCTTGTGTACGAATATTTGGAAAATGGCAGCTTAGAAGACCGTCTCTTCCAGAAAGATAACACCCCACCAATTCCATGGAAACTTCGATTCCAGATTGCGGCAGAAATTGCCACTGGCCTTCACTTCCTTCACCAAACAAGGCCTGAACCACTGGTGCATCGAGACCTCAAGCCCGCAAATATACTTTTAGACAAGAACTACAAGAGCAAGATCAGTGATGTAGGTTTGGCCAGGCTCGTTCCTCCATCGGTAGCTAACAAAACCACTCAATATCGTATGACAGCCGCAGCCGGTACATTCTGCTATATTGACCCAGAGTATCAACAAACAGGATTGTTGGGTGTAAAATCAGACATATATTCCTTAGGTGTAATGCTGCTTCAGATTCTTACAGCAAAGCATCCCATGGGTTTGTCTCACCTGGTTGAAAACGCTATCCAAACTGGGAAATTTCCAGAGGTGCTTGATCCAAGTGTGCCAGATTGGCCTGTTGAAGAGGCTTTATCACTGGCTATGCTGGCTTTGAAATGTTGTGAATTGAGGAGACGAGACAGACCAAGTCTTGGCTCAGTCATTTTGCCGGAGCTGGATCGACTCAAAGATTTGGAAGAAGACAGATATTTAAAAGAAGACACAGGCAGCAATGACAGATTTGAGAGGCGGGTTAGTCAATCAACCTCTACTTCTCGTTTATAGTATTTTACTGCAAATTTGAGAGTATTTTTGAGTGATAACTTAGGGAGACGGGGGGGGGGGAACCACTGACGATAATTTACTCCTATGGTCCTTGAAACACTAATGAAAAGTCTTTTCACTTCACATTTCCAAATTTCCTTCCTGGTCGGACCAAAAGAATAGCATAATTAAAGCTTGTAACCTCTAAAATACATGGAAGGGAAAAGAAGTAGCAGGTAAGTTGCTGTTTAAGTTATGGTTCTTTATCGTGCAGAATCAAGAGGCAATGAGTAGCAGTCTTAATGTGGACAGGGAGAGAAGGCAGGGGAAACCCGTGAAGTCTCTGAGCAACAAATGCAGTAGCAGAAGTAAAATAAGAGAAGGAGGCCTCTTTGCAGCATCAAGAAAAGATGTCGAGGAACTTACAGACAAGCAAGATACTGATGAGATAGGAAGCTGCTGGTCTTTTGGAAGTAGCTCCCCCATTCACTCACATTCCTTGTAAGTTCAATCATGTGCTGTGTTGTCTCTATGAATTGTAAGAGACCATACTTTCTCTGGTAACGTAAACAGAAGAGCCCCATTTTTATAATCATCATCATCACCACCACTTTCCTCAAGTCAAGTTGGCCAAAACAATAGGCCGGGCTCACTGAGTTGAGGAAAAAGTGATCATACAGAATATAACTGTTGGAGAAAATTTAATTATTTTGTCGCTTAATGTACTTCAAAATTATCTTCATAGTTTTCAGCCATTTTAATCAAATTTTAATTATTGAAAATTTGATTGGTGAAATGACAATGAGATAATAATAACCAACTCTATGACTATCGATTCATATTTGATGTAAATATGCGAGTTCTATTTTAAATCTAATTTTACAGCATAACGAATGATAAAATTTATTACAAACTCTTTATTTCATATCAACTTCTAAAAATAGTAGCGTCAAAGTCAAAATAGAAGAATCTCAGACGTTGTAGCCCAATTGAGACCGAACATCACTCTTGAGGCTTTTTTAAGGACGGGGATTTTTTTTTTGTTTTGGGACCAGCTTTTAAGGACAGGATCGCAAGTTTGAATCCTCATCAAAGGACATAATGAGCGTGGAGAAATTTTTGCATGCTCCCAGCATACCACATCATTTGTGCTTTGCCCAACTAGAACACACCAAATCACATCATTTTTATGCAACCTGGAAACATTTAAATCTTACATGGCATTTTTCTAAGGGAAAATTTCACTGAAGGACCGCTGAAGGCAATTAATTTCCAATAGCTCCCAAAACAATCTGACAAGCCACTGCAGGACCATGGGGGTGAATTGATATTAATTTCAAAACTAAAAAGACAGTGTTGCCCCTCAAACTATTACTCTGAAATTTGAAGTCTTCTCTCTCTCTCTCTCTCTCTCTCTCTCTCTCAACTCCCGATATCTGAAGCCCCTCTCGCTCACTCTCTAAAAATTCCAGTTCATGCAGTGAAGGAGATCGTTCACCTCACTGTCGCTACTGTTGTGGTGAGGAAAGACTTTGCCATCGTCATTGCTCTGCTGCGGAGAGCCTTCGTTGTCGCCCTTGCTCTAGCAACGAGAGCCTCCATCACCGCTCCTGCAAGTGTTGGACGAGAACCTTTTGCCTTTTGTGTAGATATGAAGCTGGTTAAACTAGAAAAGCTTGCAGGAACGCGAACTCTACATGAATTTATTGCTGAATACAGTTTGTTTTTATTTTAATAAACAGCTATTTTTGTGTACATATGAACCTCAATATGTATTTTTGGAATGGTTCACGAAGTGGCTATGACAATCCGTGAGTTGAAATCTATTTTGTATGGCTATGAATAGATGGAGAATTTCATGATGGTACTTAGAGGTAAACTGCCCTAAGTACTAAACTGAAACTAGCTAGCAACTATATAAATGTGTGAACAAATTAATCGACTTGCAAATGGACGTATTTTTATTGTTAATGCATGTATTCTTATTGCAAAGTTCCTAATTCCACTTGTAAATAGTCACTTCCAGATTTGTGAATTGACGTGTTCAACTTTTTAAATGAAATAAATCTACTTGTAAAAGAACGTATTTCTATTGTTAACGAGTGTATTCGTGTTGCAAATTTCCTAATTTCACTTGTGAACCCTTACTCCAAGACTTGTGATAAACTTTTTCAATTGAACCAGCTCACTTGCAAATGGATGTGTTATTCTTATTAATATACACATCCTATTTGTAAATTTTCTAATATCAGTTACAAATGATTCCTCCCAGACTTGTGAATAATCATGTTCAACTTCTTAAATTCAACTAGCTCACTTATAAATAGACAAATTCTTATTGTTAATATACTTATCCTTCTTGCAAATTGTTTGACTCTAGTTGCAAATAGTCCCTCCCAAACATGAATTATCATGTCCAACTTCTAGAATTCAACTAGATCACTTGCAAATAGATGGGTGATTGTTGTTAATATGCATATTCATATTGCAAATTACCTAATTCCACTTGTGATTAGTGCTCCTCAGACTTGTGAATAATCATGTATGACTTTTTTAATTATATTAGTCCATTTGTAAATGGACAAGTTTCTCTTGTGAATCAATGTATCTTTATTGCAAATTTCCTAATTCTAATTGCCAATATGACAACCAAATACCTATGACATCAAAGTGTTAATCAACATATTCTTATTGTAAATTTTCTAATTCGAGTTGTCAATAGTACATCACATACTTGTAAGTTAATGGGAAAAGACAACAAATTGTAATTAATTAACATGTAACCTACTCATAGTATATTCCCTAAAACAAAAATCGTGCAAATTCTCCATACACAAATTTTAACACATTATGTCATTGTTTTGTTTTTTATTGTCTTTATCCGTTGAAGTAGTTTGCAATAGCAACTGATTGTGTATTTCTTTTGGAGTAATGAGTCACCACAACTCAGACTTTAGTGTAGTGTATTATTCTTGTGACACAACAATAAGTACTGTCAATAGATTAACACAAGCGCATCAATGCAAACTCAAAATAATGAATGAACTCATGAGTAATAGAAAATGACTATCACACAAGGGATATTGTGACTAGTGCTTCCTAGGCAATTTGCAAGAAGGATAAGTATATTAACAGCAAGAATTTGTCCATTTACAAGTGAGCTAGTTGAATTCAATAAGTTGAACATAATTATTCACAAGACTGGGAGGGATCATTTACAACTGAAATTAGAAAATTTGCAAATAGGATTTGTATATTAATAAGAATAACACATCCATTTACAAATAAGCTAGTTCAATTGAAAAAGTTTATCACAAGCCTAGGAGTGAGGGTTCACAAGTGAAATTAGGAAATTTGCAACACGGATACACTCGTTAACAATAGAAATACGTCCTTTTGCAAGTTGATTTATTTCATTTAAAAAGTTGAACATGTCAATTCACAAATCTGAAAGTGACTGTTTACAAGTGGAATTAGGAACTTTGCAATAAGAATACATGCATTAACAATAAAAATACGTCCATTTGCAAGTCGATTAATTTGTTCACACATTTATATAGTTGCTAGCTAGTTTCAGTTCAGTACTTAGGGCAGTTTACCTCTAAGTACCATCATGAAATTCTCCATCTATTCATAGCCATACAAAATAGATTTCAACTCACGGATTGTCATAGCCACTTCGTGAACCATTCCAAAAATACATATTGAGGTTCATATGTACACAAAAATAGTTGTTTATTAAAACAAAAACAAACTATATTCAGCAATAAATTCATGTAGAATTCGCGTTCCTGCAAGCTTTTCTAGTTTAACCAGCTTCATATCTACACAAAAGGCAAAAGGTTCTCGTCCAACACTTGCAGGAGCGGTGATGGAGGCTCTCGTTGCTAGAGCAAGGGCGACAACGAAGGCTCTCCGCAGCAGAGCAATGACGATGGCAAAGTCTTTCCTCACCACAACAGTAGCGACGGTGAGGTGAACGATCTTCTTCACTGCATGAACTGGAATTTTTAGAGAGTAAGCGAGAGGGGCTTCAAATATCAGGAGTTGAGAGAGAGAAAGAGAGAGAGAGAGAAGACTTCAAATTTCAGAGTAATAGTTTGAGGGGCAACACTGTCTTTTTAGTTTTGAAATTAATATCAATTCACCCCCATGGTCCTGCAGTGGCTTGTCAGATTGTTTTGGGGGCTATTGGAAATTAATTGCCTTCAGCGGTCCTTCAGTGAAATTTTCCCTTTTTCTAAAATTAAAAATCTTCAATTGACGTCGAGCATCTCAAGCTAGGCTAAATCCCTTCATCAAACGACAAACTCCTCCTCTTGCGCAAGACAGGTTGTTGACTCTAATACCATATAAATAAAATACTATTTTTTTTAGTAAAACTATTTTTAGTTATTAATGCAATAGTTGATTAATTTATATAAATTAAAATAATTAGTTATAATAATTATCTATAATGAATATGTGTTATCTTTCTTAAAATATTCTTATTAATCATGTGTATTAGAATTATTATTTGATAAAACATTTAACATGTATAATTACTATAAAAATTATCTTAAAAAATACATAAATGTGGAAGATAAGTGTGTTGATGTATTATATTTAGAATCAAATTAAATTTTAAATTAGCTATTATATTAATCAACGGAAGGTTTGCTGGCTTGCCCGGAAAAAAAAAAAAGGCGAGTTAGGAAACCAAAAACATATCAATTTCTAATCTACGAATTCTGGGGAATAGACTACTTCCGGTTCCTCATTGAACCCGGTCCGTCTCTCGATTATTAGTATTTACTATTTAGGAGACATCGGACCGAATGTCTAACCTAGCGTCCAAGTTTCTCGCTTCTTTTTCCCTGACCCCCGGAAGCTTCAGAGCTTCCTCCGTGCGTTCCCGTGCTCTTCCTCTCTCTCTCTCATATTTTGATCTCCGAAACCCTAGCCCGAGCGTCTGGAAGCCTCTCCAATGGCGTACCAGACCCCCGATCGTGACTCAGAATCCGGGTTGCCAAATCAAACACGCCTTTACAATCCCTACAAGGACCTCGAGGTACCTATTCGAAATCTTTACCAGCTCCCAACATCCCCTGAGTACCTTTTCGTCGAAGAGGCTCGCCGCAAGCGCCGATCCTGGGGTGAGAACCTCACCTTCTACACTGGCTGTGGATACCTCGGCGGCGCCGTTGGCGGCGCCGGACTGGGACTCGTCGATGGCGTTAGGTCCTTTGAATCTGGCGACACCACGAAGCTTCGGATTAACCGGGTTCTTAACGCATCTGGCCATGCGGGTCGGGCTTGGGGTAACCGACTTGGCGTGATCGGGTTGATGTATGCCGGTATCGAGAGCGGGATTCAGGCCGTCAGGGATACTGATGATGTGTTGAATAGTATGGCGGCAGGGCTTGGCACGGGTGCATTGTATCGAGCCGCGAGAGGAGTGAGATCGGCTGCGGTTGCGGGAGCCGTTGGTGGAGTTGTGGCGGGAGTGGCTGTGACAGCGAAGCAGGCAGTGAAGCGCTACGTGCCAATATGAAGAGCTTATTTTGTGTGAGCTCTCATTTTTTATTCCTTTCATATCAATTTTGAGTGAGTACTGAAGTACAAGTTGTAGACAGTAGGTTAATGCGTGGCAGCAGATGTTAAATCTGCTGTTGCAAATTATTGGTTGAATGCATAATTTCATCTTTATGGTGGCTAACCCTTCCATTGAAATTGGCCGAATTACGCTGTAATGAATAATTGAGAGATACAATTTTGTTCATAGCATCAGCTATAGCTTGTGAATGCGTAGAAGTTCAAAATACTGGTGAACTGGTTTGTCATTTTTGTGATAAATACGAACAGTAACCGCATTCTCTCAAGATTCATGGGATTAGGGAATCTGTTTGTGGATATGATTATTTATTTACTAATAGTAGATTGATGCTTCTTTATCAGATGAGATTGTAAATTTATGAGGCTCAGGTAGGAAGTAGGAACTATAGAATTGTGTGCGCATTGAAGATCTTCTCTTTTGTAAATTGTGCCAAGTTTGTTTTATGTATGAATTCTGCATCATATAACCCATCAATGGTTTTTTAAATTTTTGGCTATCGTAATCAAATGACGTTAAGTTCGGAAATAAATTCAGGAATGTGATATTAACTTCTAGTCAACAGTTAATGAATGGCATGTCATTATTCATCTGATTTCTACTGGTGGAAATGGGATCATTATTTTCTCGTAATTAGATGGGCGGCATGAAAATAGCTGTACTATATAACAGATACCCTCTCACCTCTTACTTGGAAAGCTGGATCCACCTTGATTGGTCTTTCCGATGCTTCCGATAAATTAATGCGAAAATTATTTAGTGAAATAAGCTCATTCCTTCACCACTTCTTTCTTTTCTTCTCTTCGTTCCCTCACTTTTTTAAATTAGATTTTTGGTACTGTTTTCCAAATAAGTTAATGTCAGCAACATTGATTGAAGTTCACATGACTTGCGTATTTTGTGGTTGTGGTGATGAGGAACTTTTTACTCAAACTGGAATCAGCAACATTTTGCTGGACTCAGCTTTTGTGGTTTTGGTTAGTTGATTAGAACTGCTAGCAATCACCATCTACCGTTCGCCTCGAACTCCAGCTTGATCTATCCTTGTGTCTTTGGTTGACTACACTACTGGTAATAATCTAAAGCTGTGTGGAACTGTGATTGATGTGATGATGCTTGTGCCTCTGTCACTTGCGTTTTTTTTTATTTATAAATACAATCCCTCATATTACGTTAGACGCATGAACATGCTGCTGCTACTGTTTAAGTCAATTTCTCGCTTATCTTCCATGTTGGAGGAATTTTCGGCTGATATCATAGCAGACAAAATATTCATCTCTTGTTTTGTTAGGAATGGCCACGCGTGTTTTTTTTTTTTGGCCCTGACTTTGCAATTTTCTTGTGTTCTGAGCGGCCCACGGTGCCTTTTAGGAGAATTCGACCGAAAACTGCCTTTTTGTTAAATTGGCTTAGGAGCTTACTCCCAAAAGCATTTTTTAAAATGTTTTCATATAGATCGAGGCAATTTTTCTCACGCATTTATTTTATATATCATAAAATTATTTTTAAAATAAATTTTATCTTCACCCAAACACATCAAACATTAGTTAAAAGGTTCAGGTGGTTATCTGAATATCATGTCCTATCCGGAATCTCGCTCGAAGGATTTTGTCTCGATGTATTCTGCGTCCCTGGGATGGTAGGCTTCTACGGCGAAAGATCAATTATTATAACAAAGAGCCAAATACTAAAGCGTTCTTTCGCAGTCAGTTATATGCGATTCTGGTCTAAAAAGAATAATAGAAATATGTTAAGACTTGGTTATTAGATAGTAATTGCTTCGGTGGGGCAATCGACATTAGCCATCGGCAGAGGCAGCGTCCCATGTGGATTATGAACTGGCCGTGCGCATGTAAGGATAGGAGTAAACCCTTCTAAAAGAAATAATAAAGCATGATTAGCAATAAAATGCCAATTTTCATATTAACAAATTATTCCAGGGAAAGAGCCCGCTTTACCCCTCATTGTAACCAACTAAACAAGAAATGAGAGCACATCTCAAAAGAAAATTGCCGATTATTCACAAAGTCTGACAAGAAAAATCTCGAGCACGAATATGCCTCTATGGGGGAATACCCTCTTATCAAAGGAAAATTCCAAAATGTATCAAATGCCCCTTCCGGCCCTGCTTATTCAAAATACAAAATTGCAAAATTCATCTTCTGAGAAGAGACCGAGACTTTCGGCCAAAAAGGGTAAAGACTTTCAATCGAAGATTGGTCAGGAATACAATCCACCAAACCCGAATGGGCATGTGGATAGAGCCCAGATGAACTATTCTCATTCCCGCCTTAATAATCAGTTGAGAATATTCGCAAGGAAGTTAAGCTTAATCTTACAGCAACATTGACTCTGGATTTTCAATATAGCTTTTGAATGCTTTCAACCACTCAGCACCAATTGCCCCTGAACAAACAAGATAAGATGTATCATTAAGACCTGAAGTCGCTAATCCATATACGACAAGCTTGATGACTGAAGCTCTAATCAAGAAGTATTACCATCTATTACGCGATGGTCACAGCTGAGAGTTACAGACATGAAAGAAGCAATATTAAATTCTCCAGGTCCTGAACCCGGTATGGCCCGCTTCTCGGCTGTTAAGGTAGATGACAAAGTACCAAGTGTGAAGATAAAAACAATGACTGGTTAAAAAATTATAGATCGAAAGACCCTACAGTATTCTCACCAGATCCAACTGCAAGAATGCCAGACTGAGGTGGATTGATGATGGCACAGAACTGTTTGATGCCAAATGGCCCCCCTAAGTTTGAAACCGTAAATGTGCCTCCCTGCAGAGTGGACCAGCCGAAAACCCACAGGTCAAAATGAGATCATCTTTCAAAGGCCAGTAAGCATTCACATGATTTCTATTACCTCATAGTCTTGGGGTTTCAAGCTGTTCTCTTTGGCCTTTGATGCCAATTGCTTGACCTCTTCTGCTATCTTCGAGAGGCCTTTCTTGTCCGCATCCTGCGCATATAACCAATTGGAAGGCAAGTGAGACACCATAATTGAAACTAAAGACATAAATGTCGTCATCATTAGAAAAAGAGCATAGCGTGACTTACCCTGATGACAGGAACAAAAAGTCCATGATCGGTCTGCACGGCAACATTAACATTCACATTATGATACCTGCATAAAACAAAATTTACATGTTAAATCAGATGGGATATACACATTTGCTGGCAGCACTTGCAGATAAAACTTTTGACTTACTGGCGAATATAATCATCTGACCATGAACTGTTACATTGAGGAACTTTACGAAGAGCCAAAGCAGCAGCCTGATATAAATAAGACAAACCAAACGAAGTTGATATGAACATATCAATTCGACACTACATATCTCTGAGGACCTATGCTAAAATTCACTATCATTTTTAGCCAGAATCCCAAAGGTTTAGAGGCGTCATCATGTGATTGTAAAGCCAAATTAACTTAAAATATTTTGTATTATATGTTTTGACACAAGATAGGAACTTTGCGTCAAGTTCACTCGGTGTCTTCCCGCCCACTAGCCCTTTCCTCTCTTTTTCATTGACAGAAACAAGTTACCCTCTAAATTGATAGAATCTGAAGTCTGTACTTCTATACAACCTTCCACAACAACCGCTGCTCCTCTATATCTTGTTAAGCCAAAAATTCATGAGTCTCAGTTATATAAGATGTCACAAACAGAATATAAAGAAGTCTGTAATGTGGCCAAAAACATTTAAGTCAGAGGTCGACACAAATTTGACATCATGTTCAAAACTACGAGAAGCCATTTAGAATGATTTTGGAGGTCACAGAATTCAACCATCCCTGGCTTATCAACCACCTAATCTCACATTGGAATCTTAATTGAAACTTAACATCTCAAAAAAGACAACCTACAAAGCACGATTATGTTGGTCAGAGACAAATGTAATACCTTGATTACAAGGTCATTAACTGAAATACGTGACCCACCAGCTGCTTCTTGCAATGAATTGAGTTGGGAGCGCAAACTGCATATAAGTAGCTTAAATTAAACATTGACAACAAGCCTTGTCCCTCTAAGCAAGCTTGGCTATATGAAGTGCATAATACCATGGATGTATCATCTATCATAGATACGCAATTGCAATAGAGAAACTAACCTCATGAGTTTGTCAACACATGTATCTACTGTTAAATAGTAATGAGGAATAGTTTGTTTGGATAATAGTAGGCGTGAAGCTGTGATCTGTAAAATATAAGGAGTTAGTTTCAAGTAAAAATACATCACTTGTACTGTGAAAGATATAGTAATGGAAGAGCATTACATAAAAAGTGAGTACAAGTAAGGAAAAAGCAGAGGAGCTGGAATAGAAGGACCAAAATGGCCAAACAAAACAGGCTGGATGCATACATATTTGATCATCTAAAAGGACTTATATATTAAATGAAAAAGCATACAATGAAGGCGGCACAAAAACTAGCCATAACTTTTGTCAGCTGGTAGCCTATTTACGTCCCTAATTCAAATAATTCAATCCTACCAATAGATTAGTAATCAGGGTTCCATTGTCATATGAAAGGTAACTTCGTAAGCAACAAAAAGACACTGCCTAAACAGAATGGTCTAAGATTAACACACTCATGATTCAACCAATAAATCTCAAAACACTGTTTTACAAGAGGAATTTGATTTGATATGCTACCTTCCTAATCTGAGAGACAGGAATGTCAGTGTAATCCAAAGCTGCATCTGTAACCTTGGTCTTTGAGGCTGCTGAAACCTCCTTAACGCCAGAAGCTGCATCAGATGGCAAAGCTTGTTATCCAAATCAAATCAAATCAATCAGCTAAGGGCAATACAAAACCCTAGAGCTAGCAAGACAGATGACTCCTCTAGAACAAGAAGAAGACCCACTATGACATCTAGGCACACAGAAAGAGAGACAGAATAATACCCAAGTAATCATCAATATCACCCTTAACAATGAGCCCTTCAGGTCCTGTTCCTTTGATGCTTGACAGAGGAATCTATATAGTTGACAAAAAAATCGTAATATATCTTCAAAATGGCTTATTTCTGTTATTTATTAAACAACTTTCAATCATGGCATTTCATCAACTCACATTTTTCTCTTCAGCAAACTGTCTAGCAAGAGGACTGGCAAATATGCGATCTCCAGCTGGAGGAGATGCAGTGGGTTTGGAAACCTTTTGCTCAGGTTCTCGGGCAGGCTCATCTACCACCTCTTTCTTTGGTGGGGGAGGGGCAGATGGTTCTTTAGCAGGGGCAGAGCTAGCACCCGAGGCAGACGGTTGATAATCTTTAAACTTTGCAATATCATCCTCGTCTTCAACAGTTATAGCAATTATCTACGAAAAAAATGTTCATGTTACTGAGACAATTACCTCTGCATGTAAAGCTTAGGGTGTAAGCCAATAAACTTTCTGTGGGTACAGACGCACTTTTTGAAACACCAAATAGAAATTCCCAGTAAAAATTGTGCAGAGAGGAATTGAAACTTGTAACTAGAGTTCAATACCTCTCCAACTTTGATTTCTTTTGATCCATCCCCACGTATTATCTTGGCAAGATAACCTTCCTCCATGCATTCCATTTCTACTGTTGCTTTATCCTTCAAAAGTTATATACTGAGATGTCAAGGCCCACATAAAGGTCATACTAAACAAAATAAGTCTACAATGTCGATAGCACAAGAACCCCACAGTTTCAACTTCACACAGAACTTCACCAGGAGAAACTTTTTCCCCTTCTTTCTTCAACCATCTTGCAATGTTGCCCTACATATAAGTGTGAATCAGTAGGCAGAAACAATAAGCCAAAGTATAATCAACTCCTGAGCTTCAGAAAAATACATACCTCAGTCATTGTAGGTGATAGAGAGGGCATTCCAATCTCTTGGTGCGGAGGAAGGTCTGAAAGATATTGGCCAACATTAGTAATGAAACAAGTATGCTATTATTATATTAGTTATACAAAAATATCTAAAAAGGGTAAAACCCAGCAAACTCTTGTGAAATATAACATCATTGATGAAAGAATCCAATACATCCAATTAAAACATCGAACAAGTTCCTGTATGATTTCTAGTATAATCATAAAACATTAAACTCAAACAAAATAACAGGAGATACCCTTGGAGTTTTAAAAGAATGAATGAAAGACAATCAGAAGACAGCCAATAAAATTCTTTCACTAGGAGTTATTGAAAAGAAGGCACTTTATTTCTTTTCTTTTTAATTATTTACCCTATGTTTTCAGGTAGCAGCCAAACTATAGATAGATGCCCCTATAAGAGCAGATACAACAAAGTTACAGTCAACATGGATGGCAAAGCAGCAGACGCCAGAGCATGCTGTATTGCAGATTGTTCGGTAAAAGCAAGATGCATATACATCCTACATTCAAGCCATGCCACATGACACCTTCTTCAGGAATGATCATTATTTAAGAAATACAAGATTGTACTATCTAAATTATGAGCCCTTCGATAAAATACCCAACACAAAACTCAAAGAGAAGAGAAGGACTTGAAACACAAAGAAAGCAAGAGACCCAAATAGCCATGGAAAGTACCTGAAGCTGATGCATAAGTTCTCCTCGATTGGACCTGAGAACTGTTATCAGGGGAAGGAAGCAATCAGAAATGAGATGAGTAAGTATTACCCTGTTGAAGCAGGAAAAGTACTCAATAGACATTTTAAAAGATACCATGAATTCTCATTGCTTAAAGAACCCCGGGCGAAACATGTTGACATGTTTCTCGTCTGTCCACCAAATGACAATTTCTGCAAAAGATAGAATTTGCCAATTGCCTCCAGGTCAGCTTGAAAAAACAGCTTACTAAAATAAATAAAGCACAGGCAAGGAGAGGAGTGTTAGCACTACTAGCACAGAAAGAAAAACTTCTTGTAAAATATTGTTCAATTGGTATAAACTGAGTTTAACTTACAGCGTGGTAGGAGGCAGGCTCGGAAACAGTCTTTTTCGTTGGGGACAGGCAACCATGAAATTGGGATTCACAAACATCTGGAAAATAATTTACTCCGCCATTCATAACTATAATAAATGAAAATTTAGGAACTTCAAGAAAGTACAGACAAATCATGGCTTCCTACACATGCGTCCAAAATGTATAGAATTTCATCCTCCAGGGTAAACCATGAATAGTTAACTAACTAATATACCACTTGTTCAAGAAAGACTCAACTTTGGGTCTCTGTCAAGAAGGATAAATATCACTTGACTTGAATACAGTGCTCAGACTGCACCAGCATCTGACTACGATAGTACTGTCACTGACTTGTAAGTTCATCAATCATTAACAGCAGGAAATGAAAACAAAAATTAAAATAGAGGCCTCATATACGAGGCAGCAGCTTGGTAAAACTTGCCACAGCCCTAAAAATTTACGCTGGCCATGCCTGAGCCTACCATCAACTAAACATATCGCAGAACCCAAACCCACAGGATGCCTCTGTAGTCCATAAGGTATCATTTGTTTATCTCAAACAATTAATGAATAAATAGGAAAAATAAATAAATAAAAAAATAAACAGCCAACTACCTTGATTTCTGTTCATAGATTGTTGAGCCTCGCTAGAGAAACAACGAGCCAAACAGGCACGGTCATGTTGTAACAAGCTGGGGGCATTCCTCAACTGCAGGAGCACACATGTCTTGCTTTAATATTTCAGAAGCAACGTGGAGTAGATAGGCACCAAAGCAGAAAATCCATGCACAATGGTACCATATCAGACACAGCATCACACTTAAACCAAGCATGGCATGTCAGATTTTTTTTTTTTTTAAAGAAATTTGGAAGGAAAAAAAGCAGATACAGATACACATAGTATATAGGTTCAACATAATCATTATGTCTGTGACAAGATCTTAAAAACAGCATATGGGCATGATGAGGTCAAATTTCTACAACCCTTTCAAGAGTTCCTCAACCAAAAAAACCACAGAAGCACAGACAGGAAATGTTATGAAGAAAAACCATATAAATACATCCATACATAAATACATATAATTTCTGGTTAACAACTAGTTCAATGGGCATTTCAAACAAAAATTGGTCAGAAGTTTCTAAATATATAAAGAAAATTAAGCAATGAGGGGGAACTTTACTGTCCTCTATAAGGAAAAATGAATAACAACATTACTTACAACAGTAAATGTAGATAAATGCAACCAATATAATCCAGAAATGACACAGCACAAAAATCACCCCTGCGTTGCGCCCAGGAATATTAAACAAAGAAAATAAGAAATGAAGCGTAATGTGATACTTTTGAGCATAACAACTGCAAAGACCACTCATATAGATTGCAAGCTTTGGTGAGAAGTTAGCACGTTGTCCAAAGGTTAACAGAACTCATCGGAAAGATCCATGATGACAAAATACTTGTTGTTGGGTACCATGGAGATAGGGGAAATCAAGCTCCAAGGACCCATTTGGGAATATCAAAATGCTCAATTTCCCCCAAAAAAAAAAATCAATGCTTTGAACTAAAATATCCAGCATCCATAAAATCTCAAGATGAAAGAAGGACAAAGAAATACAGTCTAAACGGAACTTCCACACATGCTCTACTTGTACGAGTTGCGATACGATGTAAGGATAGATGCATAATCAAAGATACAACAAAGGAAGCCCGATATGAAAAATTCAGAAGGATGACAATATACCTTTCTGGAGTGATTGATTATACGAGCTGCGCAAGACATTTTGCTTTCTACCCAACAGAATGAAACAAGCGAAATCGAAAGTACGCAGGGGGAAAATGAATGTTCAAAAGGGATTGGAAGATCGGTGTGAACTGGTTAGGTGGCTAAATCCGTAGGGTTTGGTCGCAGATCGGAAGCTGATGGTTGTAAGAAACAAAGCATCCCAGATAGTCCGATACCATTTTACCATTTTCTTTGGGAGTGCCTTTTACTTTTATTTCTTTAAATAATAATTTATATATGTAAGGAAAAATTGCAAAAAAAAAAGCCGTAGAAAAAATTACAGACAAAAACTCATTCACAAAATTATTGTTATTTGCTTATCAATTATTACCAAAATTCATGTTAATATTATAATTGGTCTTTATTTATAATTTTTTAATTTTTAAAGTATTTTCTTGTGATTTTTTCTATATAAAACCCAGCTATTTTTAAATTATACATACTGCAGTTCATTTATGCATAGGCAAGAAAATTGTTGTGAGTAGATGTCCAAAAATGCACTAATTTTTGAGCCCGTGACACCCAAAACCAATTTTCGCCAAAAAAAAAAATTAAACCATTGGTTTGCGATTTGCAGCTAACTCAATGCAACCTGATCAATCCAGCGAGTTCGCCAAATTGATGGGGTTAGATTTTGTAATTATCTTTTTTTTATTGAACTTAAAATAACATCATTCTAAGATTAAAAAAATAAATAATAATAGAGCGCTAGATTTATTCTTCTCTGGTCTTATTTATAAAGCATTTTCAGCATATTTCACAGTTCACACAGGCTAAGAAAAACCTTAAATTTTATTAATTCTCATTTAAAATTTAGTAACTTTTCAACTTTATTCCTATTTAATATATATTATACTTCATGTAAACAAAATTAACACAATAATAAATGAGGGGCAAAATTATACATCTATACAAAAAATTTCTCTCGGTACCCTATAAATAGGACCAAAAATTATCTTCTCTCTTTGTCCTATAAATATAACTAGAGGGTATCTTAATAACTTTGTTTGTTATCTGTTTAATCATAGTTAGGCTATTTAATTCATGTTTTTTTAGCAGAATACACAGACATATGATTTTTTGTCATCATTCACTCAAAAAGAAATCACACACTAATGGAGGTAGGAGTTAAAAAGAACATTAACTTTTTTTTGCCATAAAAAATATTAAGTATCAATTATATATATATGATATTATGATGGGTATCAGATGCCTTATCAAAAAATATTAATTGATTGATGTCACCTAAATGTTGTTTATCATATATTATTTAAGTATTTAATACATCCGTCATATAAAAGAGAAGTGGCAATATCATATCATTGCTGTCTACCCATCTATTTTATATGACTTCCGCACCACTGCTATCGGTATGTCATTGTTAATTATTGATTAGTGATTAATTATTAATTATTAATTGTTGTTTCGTGTCATTATGCAATGTTTTAAGAGAAAGGTTCATGGGCGCATGACATGGACGAGCGAAAAAAGTCAACATTGTAGACTTTTACAGTGGGGGTTCATTGCTAAATCACAATTATGCCCATCCCATATGATATGCCCCTAACAACCAAGCAAAGGTCAGTGCCTCTTTTTATTTTTTATTTTTTTGAAAAAAAGAGTTGATGATTAAAAGGGTGACACTTGTATTATGACACTTCCATTCTTGTTTTAGAGTTAACAATGAAGTGAATATATTTCGATCTGACATTTTACCCAATAGTTTCTATCTGTTTTTAATTCTGCATAGACATTAATTAATTAAATTAATTATGATTATATTGAGTTTGATTTGAAAAACTTACTGATGATCTCGTTCGTCTGAGACCAATAATTTTTTATTGTGCTATAAATGATGGAAATGAAGTAGGGAAATATTACATCAGCTAAGAGGAATTAAACTTTTAATTAAAAAAAAACAGTTTGATTAAAACAGACTTGATTGAGAAACACAGAATATACTCGTATATTTGAACTAAAAATGCTGTTTCTTTTATCCTAACAAGGCAAAAAAAAGGAAATAAGAATTGCAATAAAGTCTAATAAAATAAATATATTCACAAAAAGTCCTATAACGCAGCTTATAATAACAATTTTAAGAGTAAAAAATAACAACAGATCTTAGATATTCACTTATTATTGAAATTTTTTAATAATTATCTTTCTTTTTTTAAAACTTTGAAGTGCTGGCAGCAGCAGAAGTAGGAGAGGCAACGTAGCGTGAAGCAACTAAAGAGAAAAGGAATGTTTAAATTTGATGGGCAAAGTTGAAAAGTTGAAATGATGGCAAATATCACAATGTGAGGTATTATTTCACTCCCCCCTCATTTCTGAAGGGAAGGAAGCAGAAAAAGGCAAACATTTTTCCTTCTCTTCCCCTCTACTTTCTTAAACCAATTAGCCTAACTTTGTCCTTCCTCTTCCTTTTTCATCCCCTGTTTTTGAAAAAAAAAAAAAACCCAACCAAACATTATGTAGTGCCTGTTTAAAATAATTTATAAATAACTTTTTAATCGTGATTTATGAAATACGAGATAAGTTTATAAGATGAGTTTTGTCTCGATCTATACAAAACATGTTTATAATTACTTTTCATCACTGTTTTAAATAAGCCTATAATTGCAAGCTATTTACCTCTTCAAAAGAAATAAAAGTTAGTTTTATGGTCATTGTTGGGCCATCTTGTAGGTTTGGGCTTCCTAATTATATGTTGGGCTTTAGAAGCCATCATTAGTTAGGCCTGTTTAAAATATACAAAATAGTTGTATTTTCTTTGACTAAATTAAAAGGAGATGACTTATAACTCACAAATCATAAGGTTATAAGTTTGAATCTCACTATCGATATAAAGATCTTGTTAGTAGGTTATTTATAAGTACTTTTATAAATACTCTCTGAACTTGAATGTATACCCTGACTAAACTTACAGAACCCATACTTTTTTGTATATATAAAAAAGAAAAAAGGAGCCATTACCGGGGCCCACATGTAGGACCCATACCTATATCTTGATCCTGCCTCTGCCTTCATCTCTCGCATTCTGAGCTCATCAGGTTGGTGGGCACAGCGTGCTCAGCACTCAAAGCATCTTTTGAGTTCAAGGGTTGAGTAGTGTGGGACTCTTTTTTTTTTTGTTGCTTTTTTCCCTGTTTACTGTTCTTATTAAAAATATATACATGCATGAAAATTATTTTTGGTTTAAGCTTCAAAGTATTTTTTTTCAAGTATATTTATTATTTTAAAATATTGTGTTTCATCTAGCGCTGAAATATTTTTTTTTTCAGCCTACATTTTAAAGTACTTTATGATACAATTATCTAACACCCCAAAATTATTTTTTATGCAAGTTCAGCATCCTAGAAATATTTTTTGATTCATCCATCACCCTGAAATATCTTGTCAAATGCGTCCAATATCCTAAAATATTTTGTAACTCATCAAACGCTTAAAATTTTTTTTTCCAGATACATCAGTATTTTTACTGAATACACATGGAAAAATATTTTAGAGTATTGGATGAAACTTAATCCAAAAATAATTTTAATATATACTACCTCCGGTCTTTAATATAAGAGTTAGTTGATTATTAAGTAAATTAAGAAAACTAGTTAAGTTAATTATTTATAATAAATAGGTGTTATGTTTTTTAAAATATTTTTACTAATCAAATATATTGACTAAAACTACTACTATTATAATGGCTATTTTGAGAAAAAAATAGATAAATATGAAAGATAAAGTAAATTAGAATATTATATTTAAGATCAAAATAAAAATAAAAAAATTTTATATTAAGAATCGGAAATAATATATTTTTTTATGAAGCATCCTGTGGACCCATAAATTGAAAAAAAATGGAATCATCCACTCATGATAAGTCATGCATCCAAGTAAACGGTGCCACAGATATCAATCAAACATGACCACCATGCTTTGTGACGTCAGGACAATACCACATCCGAAGCAAATCGAGCTCGCATACATAAGGAAGTTATGAGCGCACGCAAACTCACACCAAAAATTATGAATCAGACAAAGAGAGAGAGATTCAAAATGACGAAACCATTATTGTCCGCCTATCGTGTCTATGCCAGCACCTGGAGCACCATTGAATATCTCCCGTATGCGAAACTCAAGAATGAAATTCACATCGTTCTGGCCTTTGCCAGAGACTACGATGGTGAAGGAAAATACCAGAATGGGAAATTCTTTCCCTATTTTGAGACAGGCAAGTTAAATGCAGATGAAATCCAGAACATCAAGGATAGAGCCGCGTCCACTTCAATTAAGTTCTTCCTCAGCATCGGAGCTCCTCACTCCAAATTCCCATTTGCTGTCACTTCTGCTCAGGAATGCGACTGGCGGAAAAATGCCACCGAAAGTCTCAAGCAAATCGTCCAGAATTACAAGATTGACGGCATCGACGTGTATTACGAACATATCAACCCTGATGCCATGCATCAGTTTGGCAACTCAATTGAGAAAGTCATGTGGAGTTTGAAGAGCAATAACATCATCACCGATGCTTCCATCACTGTATCAGCTCCTCTCAGAAAATACTATTTCGACCTGTACAAGAAAAATGAGAAACTTTTTGACTACGTGGTATACCAATCCCATACTGAGCTTTCTCGCATCTCCACCTTTCAAGAGCTTGGAGCCGTCTTCGACAAACTGCTTTATCCCAAAAATAAGATCTTAGCTGGGCACAGTGACGTTGCTCCTGGAGACTGGACTAATGTCCCGCCGCCCATCTTCCTTGGTGCCGTTCCTCAGCTCCTTGACAAGCAGGGACTCTTTGGCATTTCCAAGTGGATCGTGACCGGCCTATTATAACCCTGAGGCTTAAGTGGTGAGATCTGTGGCCAAGATGTCGTCCCATTCCCTACCTTGCTTAATGAATAATGATCCACCCATGGCTGCCATATATATGTCTTCGTTTTGTGATTTGTGTCGAACTCCTGCTAGCTCTCTTGCAGTTTTCTTTGCATTTCTGTGGTGCTTGGGTTTGTCTGAATTAAGTACCCTTTTTAAATAAGGTCTGATTCGTGCTGTCAGCTTTCGTCTCGAATACGAGATAGTATCTTGTTTCTATGTTTCATTCCTGTATACGTATTGATCGAGTCCGATAATAAAAAAGTTAATTGCTTTGCATGATTATTATTGAGTTGTGTGATTGCTATATGATTTTTCCTTCTTATCATCGCTGTTGTGACCCCCCACCCCCCGTACTAGCTAGGATCAAGTGTGTTTCTTCTTTCATTCAGGTGTATTATTATTATTTCATGTCAACCTTTTCCCTTCTCGTCCTAATTCCAACCAAGTACGTACGTACATAATAAGAAAAAAGAAGTACGTATGGAGGATCTCATTATTATAGTAATCATAACATATATAAATTGAATGATCTTATTGCTAGTTTGCGTTGTTATTTGCGTCGCCGTTATAAGCATTTAGTTGCTATACATGTTTGATTAATAAAAGCATACGGTTTCTGAGAAGGTAATAAAATAATGAGAAGAGGTCATCCCAACTGTGATTTGTATAAAAATATATATTGACAAGCCAAAAGAACTTGTGAATTCAATTAAGTTCAACTAAACAAATTTTGCATGCTTAGTGAGATTTTGAAAAGCTACTTTTAAAATTAAAAAATTAATAAAAACAATCGATTCTCTTGGCTTCTGAATAAAATGAGACGTGGATTATTTATCTAGGTGTTTAGTTCAATGGCCACTCAGCCTCTTAATCCCTTCCCCCAATGTGTGTCTATATATAGGAGCTAGATAAGGGTAAAGATGGTAAGCACGTGTGGCAAGCTGTGGTTGGCAAGCGTGGGTCCGAAAGATATGCAACCTGACGGGTTTGCATTTTGTAAACCCAAAGACCACCAGGCGGGTTAACGATCCACCTCTTTTTTTTATTATATTTTCTTTTTTTTTTTGCAATTTTTAATTTCATAAAAAATTTGCAAATTAAATTACAAATTTTATATTTAAATTTAAAGTTTTTAAAATATTTTCATAAAGTTATACTACCTCTGGTCCTAATTATAAGAGTCAATTGACTAATTTGAGGAGATTAAAGAAGTAAGTTGAGTTAGTTATTTGTTCTAAATAGATGTTGTCTTTCCTAAAATATCCTTGCTAATCAAGTGTATTGACTAGAACTCTTATTATTAGAAGGGCTACTTTGGAAAAAAAATATAAATATAAGAGATAAAGTGAATTGGGCTCTTATATTTATGACCAAAATAAAAGTCAAATAGGGTCTTACATTAAGAATCGGAGGTAGTATATTTGAATTAATCCAAAATCTTGTAAATATAAATCTATAATCTCTTTTGTATTGTTATTTTATTAATATAAAAAAATAAATAAATAAAGCAAAAGAATCAAAGATGGAATCACGTTTCTAAGGCAAAACATGATTATGTTTAAATTATGTGTAAAAACAATAAATTTTTTTATTCAAATCAATAAAATAAAAAATTGAAAAGAATTCAAATAAAAACCAGCTGTGGGCTTACTTATGCGGACTCTGGACAAAAAATTTATTTTAATCCTAAATATAAAATCTTCGTCAATTTTGTCTTTCAAATTTATAATTTGTATTTAGCTAATTAAAGAACAGAGGGATTAATTAATTAATTAATTAGATTTTTTCTTTCATTGCAAACCGTACCCTATGTGATGTTGATGAGAGTATCCCTATCTCATTAATCCCTGTGAAAAAACAAGCTTACTGGAATAAAATAAATAAGCACAGGCGCACAGGCAAACGAGAGGAATATGATGCGTGGTAGCATAGAAAGAAAAACTTCTCGAAACATACTGTTTAATTGGCATAAACCTGCATATATGTGTGAATCAGTAGGCAGAAACAATAAGCCAAAGTATAACCAAACTCATGGGCTTCAGAAAGATATAGGATGTGTTTGGATGAAACCAAACCGTAGTTTGAAAAAGTGATTCTGGAGAATAGATTATGGAAAGAATAGATTCTGTGAAGAATAGATTTTGTAAAAAAGTGATTCTAAGAAGTGAGAGTGTTTGGATAGTTGTTATCAGAAGCACTTTTTATATATACAAATTACTAAAAAAAAGACATAAGTTAATATGTAATTACAGAAAAAATAGATTTTATAATATATTTTAATTTGAAGGAATAAAATTGTTAATAATATATTTTTTACCAACATAATTAATAATACATAAGATAATATAATTAATAAATAATTAATATGTATATATATTTATAAAATATAAAATTAAATATGTTTATAAAAAAATATGTTTATAAAAAAAATAACAAGATACATATCCTATAGGCTCTCACACTCTTCCTTTTTTTCCAAAAGCAAAAATTTTTAGCTTTTTCTAAAACCATGATTTTGGAGCCAAAACCATGGTTTTGACCCAAAACCATGGTTTTGACCCAAAACCATGGTTTTGGTTTTTGGATGGGTGTCTGGGTGATTATTCCCCAGACCATGATTATTCCCCAATTAAATCTTCAATATATTTGCTTCTTAATTTCTTCCTTTCGTTACGAACCCGTCTCAATTAAGAAAACCATCTCTGTTCTCAACTTGCAAATTGCCTTCAGGTCAGCTAGAAAACGAGCTCGATAGAATAAATTAAATATAGCAGGGGCAGCAGGGAGAGGAATGGGTGGCAGCACAGAAAGAAAAACTTCTTGAAACATACTATACGTAAGTAAATTAAGCAGTGGAGGGAAAGCTTTTTATTGTTGTTAATATAAGGAAACAATGAAGAACAAAGTTATTTACAGCAGTAAATGAAAACAAATGCAACCAATACAATCTAGAATCTAGAATCTAGAAATGACACAATCATATAAAATCATCCTTGCGTTGCGCCCCGCAGTATCGAACAGAGAAATGAACCATAACCTGATATATAACAACTGCAAGATCTCTCTGATATATATGGGGGGAATTATATATGCTCCATGGACCTATTTGGGAATATTAAAATGCTCAATATCTCCCCCCCCGGGGGCGGGGAAAAAGTAAAAAAACAGAAGAAAAAAAAAAGAAGCTTTGAATGAAAATATGCAGCATCTACTTGTACAAGTTGCGATGCGATGTAAGGGATAGGGATGCAACAAAGGAAGAAGGCCGATACAAGAAAGAAAAAAGGAAAAAAAGAGATGCACGAGAGATGGTTTTATTGCGTAGCTGCAACTGCGAAGGAGTGAAGAGTCCCACATCGGCCACGTGGGGAAGCGAAGAGCGCAGGGTAATTATAAAAGCCGGACGGAGGAACGTTTTTTTTTTTTTTTGGGGCCAAAAGACGGAGGAACGTTCTAATTCATACCTTTCTAGGCCTTTTGGCTAAGATCAAGTGTAGTATTTTTTTTTTTGGTTGCCCACCTAGTTTACCGGAACTTTACTTCAACTACATCTAAATTCGACCCGCGTCGTGTACTTGGCTGTGGTGGGTGAGTTTCCCAACAGAGATTTCTGCATACACTGAAGCTTGAACTCGAGACCTTGCTTAAGCGGTACTAAGCCGCTTACCATTTGGACCAACCCCGTTGGTAGATCAAGTGTAGTATCTGTTCTTATTAGTTTAATATATGATACGTGGGTCATCGGCCCACATGATATTAAATTTATTTTTTGAGGGGGAGGGTTCACTACAGTAGCTTGCTGCTGGGATCCTCGCATGTCGCCCATGCGTTGCACTACTGCACGGGCCTGGCGCTTCCCACCAAGCCCAAGTTTTAATTTTTGCAAGCCATTTCTTTCGTGCTTAGCCGATAGGCCCAATTAATTAGTTAATTTTACACTGGGCTTCTATACGTTCGTCCAAATAAAGCCTAGGTCTTTATCACACCATAAGAGACAACAACCAAGCATAATTAACATCTTGACATTTTCATTATATATATAAATATGTTATAGATATTATAAATATTTACTTTGTTTCATCGGATATCAAACATATTTATTTTATTATGTTCCATTTTCTTTTTTAGATTTTTTTAAAAATCTAGAGTATGAAATTGAGATTAAAACAGCCTTAGCATCAAATGTGCTTATTAGAATTTAAACCTGTCTTTTCTCCATAGAGATGTTTCTTGTTATCCGGATCAACAACTTGTTCGTCCATTTTTAGATTTATTTCCATAAACATAATACTACCTCTGGTCTTTAATATAAGAATTTGTTTGACTTTATTTTGGTTCTAAATATAAGACCTCAATTTATTTCGTCTCTAACATATTTATGTGTTTTTTTTCAAGATAGTGCTTCTAATAATGATAGTTCTCACCAACACTCTTGATTAGCAAGGATATGTTTGGAAAGACAACATCTATTTATTACAAATAATTAGCTTAACTTACTTCCTTAACTCCTCAAATTAGTTAACTAGTTCTTATAATTAGTATCGGAGATAGTAGTTCACATTCGAACGCATCACTTCGCGTGTCCTACCTAGCTACTGTAATCCCTGGTAGTTAGTTAGTGTAGTTTAATATCCTTCTCTTTTCAAATAAATCCAGGCACATGATTCCAGTGGGTGTTTAAAAACAAAACAAAAAAAGCAAAAACAAAAACAAAAACCAAGCATAGCTCGAGATTAGGTTGCACATGCATATGGTCCCTCTTATCTTTTGAAAACTAAATTTATTATTTAGATCTTAAATTTTGATTTGGTTATACCTTTTACTTTGTATATTCTTGAAGGACTAATCATTAATAATTTTCCAAAAACAAAGAAACAACAGATTAAATCAAAGAAACTTGACGGATTGTGTTACATAAGTTAATATTTCAGGCATCTAATCATATGTAAACAAGTTGGAACTGTAGGAATTTAATGATTAATTGTTCTTTGTCGCCCTCCACCACAATTACTCAACATGTATGTATCCATAAACCAGAATATCTTAAAACATATATATATATATATATATATATATGTACGTTTCTCACTAATTTATTGCCTTTGGCTAAATTTTTTATTTATATAATTAATGGAATGATCGATGCCATGTTCTATGACGTCAGGAGAATAACAACACATTAATCTATAAATAAGCAAGTCATGAGAGCACACATACTTGCACCAAAAGAGAGAGCCAGAAAGAGAGAGAGATTCAAAAATGGCGAAACCATTGTCCGCCTGTCGAGTTTACGCCAGCACCCTCATCTCCATTGAGAATCTCCCATATGCGAACCTTGACAAAGAAATCCACATCGTTCTGGCCTTCGCCAGAGATTATGATGCTCAAGGAAAAAACCAGACCGGAAAATTTTTTCCCTACTTTGATACGAGTTCGTTGAATGCGGAAGCAATCCAGAACATCAAGGGCAGAGCCGAGTCCACTCCGGTCAAGTTCTTCCTCAGCATCGGAGGCCGTAACCCCAAATTCCCATTCGCCGTCACCTCTGCTCAGCAATCCGATTGGATCAAAAACGCCACCGAAACTCTCAAGCAGATCGTCCAGAATTACAGCATCGACGGCATCGACGTCTATTACGAACACATCAACTTTGATGCCAGGGACCAGTTTGGGAGGGCAATAGCGACGGTGATACGGAATCTGAAGAAAGATGAAACCATCACCGACGCTTCCATCACTGTGTCATCTCCTTTCAAAAATGACTATCAGAACTTGTACAAGGCAAATAGTGCAATTTTTAACTATGTGGTGTACCAGACCCACACGGAGCCTTCTCGCATTTGCACTTTTGAACAGCTCGTGGACGTATATGGCAAACTGCATTATTATCCCAAAGAGAAGATCTTAGCTGGGTACAGTGACGTCCGTCCCGGCGACTGGACTAATGTCCCGCCGCCCATCTTCCTTGGTTCCGTTCCTCAGCTCCTTGACATGGGACTCTTTGGCATTTCCAAGTGGGTCGTCACCACTGCTGATCATAACCCTGAGAATTAAGCCTAACTGATGATTTTATATAATCATCCACCTACCTATATATGTCTTTGTCTTGTGGTCTGTGTCGAGCTCCTGCTAGCTCTTGTAGTTTTATGCAGGTGTCGTGAGATAATAATAAGGTCTGTGCAGTCTAGAATGCCAGTATCCTGTTCTCTATGTTTCACACCCCTACGTATGTGTATGAGTCTGATCAATAAAAGTTGTTATGCATGCATGCGATTATAATTAATTATTGTTATTGTTGTTGAGTTTGTGCTTGTTAAATGATTTTTCCTCTAATTTCTATCATCACTACTCATTCCCTGCCCTACATACTATATATATAGGATCATCGACTGCAATATGTGCGTGTTTGTGTTTGTCTTCTTTCATTCAACTGTAATATTTACACTACAAAAATGGTCTTATATTTAGGATCAGAGGAATATATTATTTCATGTGGACCGTTTTTCTCTCTTCCTAATTCCAGCCAAGGACGCACGGAGAATCTCATAATATAATAGTCATAACATGTAGATCGGTTCGCAACTTCCCATTGCATTTAATTACTGGTGATTTTTAATCAATGGCTGGTCACCTAACTTTGTCTTGCTATGTGAATGAAGTCCTATTTTATATCCTTCGGATGAGTCCAACCATCCATTCTCATGCATTTTATGACCGACATATAAGTGTCATTTTATAAAATACGTGTCCTTAATTGGGAAAAAAAATGCCTAAAGGTCAATTGCATCTAACAGAGTTCAAGGGAATGTTTACTTGGGGTAAAATTACTCTAATTTTAATACGTGGAGTGTAAAAATATATTACTAAATAGTTTAGGATGTTAGATGTACTTTTACCCTTATTTATAAGAAAAAAATGAATAACAAAATTATGAAGATAAATGCAACCAGTACAACCCAAAATTGACGTAGCAACAACTGCAAGATCACTTTCTGATACAGATGGTGAGAATTATCATCCAAGAACCCATTTGAGAACCACCCCCCCCCCAAAAAAAAAAAAAAAAGAAGACAAAACAGAAAAGATCAATGCTTTATTTTGAATGGAAAACATCCAGCACCTACTTGTACAAGTTGCTGTCCAATTTATTTTCTCATTTCCGAAAGTTACGAATTCATTAAAAAAAAACAATTTGATTAAAATAGAATTGATCTTGAGAAATGCAGTTATAAAGTTGCGCATAGCTTTGAACTAAACTTAAAATGTTGTTTCTTTTCGTCCAATAAGAAGAAAATGATACTCATTATTGCCAAGTTGTTTTGTATTTGATATCATTTACCCTTTTTTCTGGATATTTTAGGCAGGATTCAAACTCAATTCAAATCAAAGATAGGGCGCTTGATCTAACTACTATGTTAGGTAAGACAAACCTACATCATGTCTTCAAGTGTTTACATACACATCTCCAAATGAGATTCCTCGCTAAGCCTAATGACGGGGAATCAAACTCTCTCCCTTATTGGTGGGAGTGTGCAGTTGCTACCGCTAATTTCATGGACTATGGGTTATCACTTCCCATTTCAAAAGGAATAAAACTCAAGGAGATAGTTTTACGGTCATCGTTGGGCCATCTTTTGGATTTCGGCTTTCTAATTGCACTGTTGGGCTTTAGATGCCATCATTGCTTGGACCGAAACAATTGTCTGGCCATCGTGTTTACGCTAGCACTCGGGGCTCTATTGAAAATCTCCCATGTGCCGGCCTCGAGAAAGAAATCCATATCGCCGGAGATTACGACAGCGAGAAGAAATACCAGACAGGGAAATTTTTTCCCTATTTTGATACAAGCAAGCTGAATGCAGAAGCAATCCAGAACATCAAGGACAGAGCCATGTCCACTTCAGTGAAGTTCTTCCTCAGCATCGAAGGCCCTGACTCCAAATTCCCATTTGCTGTCACTTCTGCTCAGCAATCCGCCTGGATCCAAAATGCCACTGAAAGTCTCAAGGAAATCGTCCAGAATTACGGGTTTGATGGCATCGACGTCTATTACGAACACATCAACTCTAATACTGGGCATCAGTTTGCCGACTCAATTCAGAAAGTGATATGGAGGCTGAAGAACGATAAAACCATCTCCAGTGCTTCCGTCACTGTATCAGCTCCTCTCAGCAAAAACTATCACGACTTGTACAAGAAAAACGACAAAAATTTTGACTATGTGGTGTACCAGTCCCATACTGAGCTTTCTCCCATCTCCACTTTTTCAAGAGGTCGGAGCCGTCTTCGACAAACTGCCTTATCCCAAAGAGAAGATCTTAGCTGGGCACAGTGACGTCCGTCCCGGCGACTGGACTACTGTCCCGCCGCCCATCTTCCTCGGTGCCGTTCCTCAGCTCCTTAACAAGGGACTCTTTGGCATTTCCAAGTGGATCGTGACCCTGAAGATTATAACCCTGAGCCTTGAGTAGTGTTGAGATCTGCGCGGCCAAGATTTCGTCCTATTCCCTGCCCTGCGTGCGTATCAAATAATATTCCACTTCCGTATATATCTTTGTTTTGTGGTATGTGTCGAGCTCCTGTTTGCTTTAGTTGTTCCGGGAGGTATGTGTCGAGTTGTCACCGTTCCTCTAGAGTGCTAGGATCTTGTTATCTTTATGTTTCAAATCCATATATGTACGAGTCTGATCAATAAAATAAAAGTTGCTTTGCATGTGATTATTATGGAGTTGTATGTGATTGTTACATGATTTTTCCTTTCTATCATCATAGGGTCATCGACTGCGATATATGTATACATATATATATATGTTCTTTCATTCAAGTGTATTACTCCTCCGGTCCTAATTATAAGACCCAATTGACTTATTTGAGGAGATTAAGGAAGTAAGTTAAGTTGGTTATTTATAATAAATAAGTGTTGTCATTCCTAAAATATCCTTGCTAATTAAGTATATTGGCTAAAACTATCATTATTAGAAGGATTATCTTGGAAAAAATGTATAAATATAAGAGACAAAATGGATTGGGGTCTTATAATTAGGACCAAATAAAAAGTCAAATGGGGTCTTATAATAAGGACCGGAGGAGTATTATATTATTTCATGCCAACCCCCTTTTCCCTCTTCCTAATTCCGATCGAGTACGCAGAATCTCGTAATAAGAAAAAAGGAGTACGTATATATGGAGGATCTCATAATAGCCGTAACATGTGCAGCTAATCTTATTGCCAGCAGTCTCTGTTGTTTGCGTCGCGGTTATAAGCATTTAATTAGTTGCTATGTATGTTTGATTAATGAAACCTTCGTGAGAAGTGATAAAATAATGAGAAGAGATGATCTCGGATTATTTATTGACAAAGCAAAAGAGCTTGTCAATTCAATTATAAAATGAGATAGATCTAGGATTATTTATCTCTATGGTATTTCAAGAGCACTCAACTAAATCATCAATATATTTGCTTCTTAATTAATTAATTAAATTCTTCCCTTCATTACAAACCCTATCTCAAATAAAACCATCTCCGTGTTGTCAACTTGAAAATTGTCTCCAGGTCAGCTAAAAAACAAGCTTACTAGAACAAATTAAATGAAGCAGAGGCAGGGAGAGGAATGGGTGGCAGAACAGAAAGAAAAACTCCTTGAAACATGTATTGTTCGGTTGGCATAAACTGATGAGTTTAACTTGTTCCAGTGTAGTAGGCGCGAGAAGGCAGGCATAGTACATGTTCAACAAAACAATTATATATGTTCGTGACAAAAATCTTTAAAATAACACACATATATAGGCATCACGAGGTCAAATTTCATACAATCCTTGCAAACGTTCCTTAACCAAAAGAAGCACAGAAGCGCAGACAGGCAAATATTACGAAGGAAAAACCATACACGTACGAACATAAATTAAGCAATGGAGGGAAAGCTTTTCATTTGTTGTTTATATAAGGAAACAATGAAGAACAAAGTTATATACAGCAGCTAGCACATGAAAATAAATGCAACCAATACAATCTAGAAATGACACAATAAATATAAAATCATCCTTGCGTTGCGCCCAGCAGTATTGAACAAAGAAACGAACCATAACCTGATATAACAACTGCAAGATCTCTGTGATATATATGGGGGGAATTATACATGCTCCATGGACCTACTTGGGAATATCAAAATGCTCAATTTCCCCAAACCCCCCCCAACAAAAAAGAAAAAGAAAAATCAAAGCTTTGTATAAAAATATCCAGCATCTACTTGGACAAGTTGCGATGCGATATAGGGAATAGGGATGGATGCGTAATCGAAGATACAACAAAGGAAGAAGCCCGATACCAAAAAATGGGATGCATGATATAAGAGGGGGTTTTACTGCATAGCTGCAACTGCGAAGGAGTGAGAGAGTCCCACATGGGGCAGGCAAAGAAGCGAAGAGCTGAGGGTAATTATAAAAGCCGGACGAAGGCACATTTCAAGTCATACCTTTCTCGGCCTTTTGGCTAAGATCAAGTGTAGTATCTGTTCTTATCAGTTTAATATCTGATACGTGGGCCATTGGCCCACATGATATTAAATTTATTTTTGCAGGGGAAGGGTCCACCACGGTAGCTTGCTCTGGGATCCTTGCGCGTCGCCCGTGCGTTGCATTACAGCACCGGCCTGGCGCGCCCCACCAAGACCAAGTTTAAGGATTATAGTCTCAGAGACCAATTACTTTTGCTTAAAACATTAGCTCAATTAATGAATTGCTAATTTGAGAGTCGGCCCCTCCATTTTCATCCAAAGCCTAGGTTTTTATCAGAGTATTTCCGCAGACGCTAGGACGTGTTGCGAATAACTTTTAAGATAGAATTAATTAATTGTGGTTTTCAGTTTAAAATTTTTCTCTTTTTCCAACAATTTAAAATTTTTCTATAAATAATTTAGGATCGGATGAGTATTAGAGAGGAGTCAGGCCCAGTTATAACATGAGAATACCCCACACGAAAGAACCAACCTTATTTTTTCGGCCTGAAAAGAAGCACCTTTATTCTGTGTACTATAATCTTACTAATTAATGTGCATTAGGTTCCACGAAATTCTTAAATTTATTGAATAAAACTCGCAAGCTCAAATATTGAAATACAGTTAATTAGTAGGAAGTGGCCTTGGTCAAGGAGGTGATGGTCACTGTGGGACCAAGTAAGGGCTTCCCAAGTTTCACCGTCAATGTGTCATAACGCAGGAACAGTTCCACCAACGTTACCCTAAGCATCAGCACCACTAGATCCTTCCCCGCGCACTGCTTGTTCTCCTCCGTGGCCCCCTCTGTCTCCCTCCCATTCGACCAATACACATACTTCAACAGCTTCTCTCCTTCCCCGACGAACCTTTGCCCCACAAACTCCTCCGGATTCTTGAACACCCTTGGATCTTTTGTAACCAAGGGCTGATATCCAAACACCATCTCACCTTTCTTTATTTGAAAGGCTGCGTCGTGGCTCCGTACCACCACATCCTCCTTTGCCTTGCCGTACTGAAACTGAACCGGTGGGTCAATCCTCAGTACTTCCCACACCACTGATTTCATCAACGGCATCTTATCCAACGCTCCTAATGTCACTCCACCTTCTGCCTTCACCGCACTTCTTATCTCGTCTGCAAGTTCTTTATGTAGACCCTCCCCAGCTAATCCCACCCACTTCATCATCGTCGGAATTACGAGTTTGACACCGCCATAAGTGTTAAATCCCAGAACGAATAGTAAGTTATTGCATGCTTCTTCTTTGCTTAGCCCGATACGCTCCGCTTCGTCCAGTGCCTCCAGGGCGGACGTGTAAACGGCATCGTATAGCTTCCGGTGAAGCCATTTGAGCAAGAACGCCGGGAACGGCATGGTATGGAGGAAGAAATCTTCGATTACGTTAATGGGGAAGAAGTACCAGGGTAGTCCGAGGGATCCGAGCGGTGCGACCTGAGGATATACCCAGAACTCGAAGTAAGTCGGGGCCCAGGATCCGAGTTTTGTTTGGGTAGGATCTTTTCCACAGTAGAGGCGGAACACGAAGTTAAAGAGCTCGTTATCGCTTACGGAGTTGAAATAAGCCTGCCTTTTAGCGAGGAGCTGGTCTTCAAGCTTCTGAAACATCTCCGACAAGTGGCTTCGGAGAAGCGGGATCGCCTGGTCTTTCTTGGAGGAGAGGAGGTAGAAGAAGAAGCGCTTGAGGAGGGTGTGTTTGGGCTCGGAGGGATCGAGGTAAGAGCAGACACGGTGGCCGCCGGTGAAGGTGGTGGACGGCATGTAGGTTCCGGTGAAGACGTCGCGTTTCTCAACCTTGGATACGTCAAAGAGGACAGGGCTGAGGGCGTCGAGGACGGCGACAACCCTAGGATTGGAGGCGACGAACGGACCAGGAGGCATGTTGGTTCGGAAGACGGTGGAGTTGTACTTGCGGATTCTGGAGATGAAGAAATTGTCGCGGCCTTGGTTGTAGTAATAGTCGTAACGATCAAGAATGGGGCCGAAAAATGGGAGGCCATAGCCGCCAGGGATTGGTCTGAGAGGGAGATCGTCAGATTTGGAAGTATCGTCATCGACGACTGAAGGATGAGATGACATTGTCACTGTTTCTTCTCCTTCTTGCGATCTTTTCGCAGGTGTGGCTGTAATCGAAGGGCCTGATTGGTGAATTATATAGTACAGTGAGATATTCAAAAGCAAAACTTATAAAAAAGTGTCTTTATGTAAGTCAAAGTAAAACAAAACTTATTTCAAAATTTAGGATTAAAAGACTAAGAATATATTTTTTAAAATTAAGAGATCAAATTAAAACCTTACATAAAGTTAAAAATTAAATGTATACTTTAGCTTATATGTAAATATGTCATAGATATTATAAATATTCACTTCGTTTCATCGGATACCAAACATGTATTTTTTATTATGTTCCATTTTCCTTTTTAGATTTTTTTTTTTAAATTTAGAGTATGAAATTGAGATTAAAACAGCCTTTGTATCGAATGTGCTTATCCATAGAGATGTTTCTCGTTATCTGGATCAACAACTTGTTCGTTCATTTTTAGATTTATTTCCATAAACATACAAGTTCACAAATCATTTCGAATGCACCATTTCGCGTGTCCTAACTAGCTACTTTAATCGCTAGTAGTTAGTTAGTGTAGTTTAATTTCCTTCTCTTTTCAAATCAATCCAGGCATATGATTCCCGTGGGTGTTTTTTTTAAAAAACAAAACAAAAACCAAGCAATGCCCGAGAATTAGCTTGGGAACGGATTAGGTTTCACATGCATATGGTCCCTCTTATATTTTGAAAACTAAATTTATTATTTAGTTCTTAAATTTTGAT